GATGGAAGCAACCTAGGTGCCCATCAATGGACGAACGGATAAACAAACCATGGTATATCCACACAGTGGAATATTACGCGCAATAAAGAACAATGATGAACCTGTGAAACATCATATAACATGGTGGAAGCTGGAACTTATTATGCTGAGTGAATTTAGTCAGTCACAGAAGGACAAATACTGTATAAAACCACTATTACAAGAACTCAAGAAAAGGTTTAAACACAGAAGAAAACATTGTTTGATGGTTACGGGGGGAGGAGGGAGGGTGAGGGTTATTCACTAACTAGATAGTAGATAAGAATCATCTTGGGTGAAGGGAAGGACAGCACACACTACAAGGGAAGCCAACATAACTGGACTAAAGCAGAGCTAAGAAGTTTCCTCAACACAATCAAATACTTTGAGAGACAGAGTAGCAGGGATGGGGGGTCTGGGGACCATGCTTTCAGGGGACTTCTATGTCAACCAGCATAACAAAGCTTATTAAGAAAATGTTCTGCATCCTACTTTGGTGAGTGGTGTCTGGGGTCTTAAAAGCTTGCAAGCGGCCATCTAAGATGCATCAATGTGTCCCGACCAGTTGGAGTAAAGGAGAACTAAGAACACCAAAGACAAAAGGAAAGTATTAGCCCAAGAGCCAGAAAGGGCCACATAAACCAGGGACTTTATCAGCCTGAGACCAAAAGAACTAGATGGTGCCCGGCTACCACCAATGAACGTCCTGACAGGGAACACAACAGAAGGTCCCTGACGGAGCAGTAGAATGATGGGATGCAGAACTCAAATTCTAGTAAGAAGACCAGACTTAATGGTCTGACTGAGACTGGAGGGGCCCCGGAGAGCATGGCCCCTGGACTCTCTATCACCCCAGAACTAAAACAGTTTCCAAGGCTAACTCTTCAGACAGGGATTAGACTGGACTGTGGGACATAAAGTGATACTCATGGAGAATGTGCCTCTTAGTCAAGTAGATACAAGAGACCAAAGGGGTAGCTTCTGTCCAGTGGTGAGACGGGAAGGCAGAGAGTTAGGAGCTGGTTGAATGTTCATGGGGAACCAGGGGCGGAGGCGAGGTGTGTGCTGTTGCAGCATGGGGTGAGCGGTTGGGGTCTCATAACAATGTATGTAAAAAAAAAAAAAATTTTTTTTTTGTATGGGAGACTAACTTGAAATGTAAACTTCATTTAATTACAATTTAAAAAAAAAAAAAAAAACACACCTTAACACCTCTGACCTAAGGTTTCTGCTTAGAAGAACAGTGGTTCTCAAAGGGGATCTGTGGGCCCTGGGGGTCCAGAACAACCCTAAGACGTCATTGGCCTCTGTTGCTGTGTGGACATCTGCACAAGGCAGTGGTGCCAAACAGCAGCCACTGTTATCATACTCTTGGGTTTTAAAAAAAGCCAATTTTCCTTATGAATGCCCTTCAAAAGCAGTAAAAATGATTAATTTTGTTACATCTTGACCCTTGAGGGCAAGTCTTTTTAACATTTTGTATGATGAAATAGGAGGTATACAGAAACGGTTCTTCTGTATACCCAAGTACCACGACTGCTTCAAGGAAAAGCACTTGAGGATTCGGCAGACTTTTCTGAGAAATGAAGCGAGCCTGTCACTTCAAAGAAAACTCTGATAGCATTGACCGGCAATGACAAATTCAGGTTTTCAAGCAAAAACTGGAATTTTAGAAAGTGTGTAGTTCCCATGTGAGCACAACAGCTTTCCAACACCTAATGGCTTATCTGGTGAGGTGCGTGATGTTTTCAATAAATGTGATTTTTAAATTAGAGAATGAGACGTGTCAACATTTGGAAGATCTGCGTAACCCTGTGAACTGATATTCTCCAAATCCCCAATGCCTGACGTTATAAAATCACACGTGAGAAACAGATTCCCTCAAAGTGCAAGACAGACTGATGGAGTTTACTGAAGCAGAGCACACAAAGTTCACTGACAAAGTTTCAAATTCCACATTGCTACTAACCTTTAGAAAACTACTACTTGTTGAGTTTTGGTGAAGTAGCAAAGACTATCCACGACTACCTGAAAACGCTATTAAGATACTTCTCCCTTCCCCAACCACCTATCTGTGAACCCTGATCTTCTTCATATACTTCAACCCAGACGGCCTACTGCAAGAGACTGACCACAGATACAGATACGAGTCTAGCTGTTTTCTATTAAGTCAGACATTAAAGAGACTTGTAAAATGATAAGACAACGCCACTCTGCACTCATTTTGTTTCTGTCTTGGAAATAGTTGTTTTTCACTAATAAACGTATTTATGTACATCTAGTAAGCTTATTAGTGTAACTTTAAAATCAATTAGTAAATAGTTAGGTATCTTCTCAGTTGTAACTTCGAGGATAATAAATATCAATATGGTAAAACCAAAATGAATAAAAGCTCTTTGGGATCCTCAGTTTTAAATTGTGTAAAGAAACCAAAACGTTCGAGAACTGCTGTTGAAAAAAGCTAAAGACAGGTCTCAGAAAGTCAAAGGAGGCAGGAGACTGCCATCTAGTGGAAAAGACAGTTAGGACATCAACGTTCACTTACAAAGATCCACTCTAGTGATCTGTTCTAGTCTTAGAAACTTCATACAGTAAGATAGAAATACCAGAGATGTGCTCCAAAGTATCCAAAATATTGTTAAATACCATTAGAATAAAACTTAAATGTTCCAGAAAAGTTCTGGGGCAGAGGGAGGGCGGAGGGGGTAGAGGTAGACACTAGCTGAACAGTCTGACCCATATTTAGGCAGCAGAGGAAGCCAGGGAGGGACAAGACAAGGGCAATGAGGCCTCTCCCCCAGCACTGGGGATGCTGAGCAGGAGCCTTCTTCCCCCCGGGTCGTGCCCTTCCACTCTCGGGTAAGCCATGCGGAATGGTTTTTTTTGAAACAACATAGCAATTTCTTCCATTTCTGTCCCAGGAGCCCTTTTTCACTTCTAGAAGTCTAAGGAGAATCCAGTGCATGCCAGGCCGCCACTATGGCTCCCCAGTAGATTCTAGAAACATTCCCATACCTAACCCTCTGCAGGGGCAGGGGCCCCATAACGCCCCACCTGGGATGCACAGTGCAGGTGGGCCGCTGGATTCAGCCAGGCCTCTCCTTTCTACTCTGAGCTTCGGCACTAGCTGCAGGGCTGGAACTTCAATCGGCCTCGGGACTTACTCATCCCTGGGTAGTCTCTCTATAAAGTTTGCTTCATCCCAGAAAACTCATACAGGGTTGCACAGTGTGTTAGTGGGACAAATCTTGACCAGACATAAGAGCCATAATGTTAAAATGCCTTGTTCACATCCAACCACCCACCGCAGCCAACACCAAATACCTTTGGGTCATCAGCCTCAGGTTTTTCAGTCTCTGAATCGTCATCTTCCTACAAGACAAAGAATTTACAGGATTAAGCTTAAACGAGCGGCCTGAGGGCTCTCACATACATAATTAGGGTTGAAGCAAGTAGCCCAGTTACCCAGCCTGAGTCACCCCACCAAAAACCCCTCCCCTGGCATATGACCTGGAGCTAGAGAAAGAGAAGGGGGAAAGGAGATGTTCTGAAGAAAGAACATCAGCAGCTCAAAATCACCAGTTATGCCAGGGGTGCCACAGTCCACGTTAAGGAAGATGCCCAAGAGATTAAAAATCACGAACATAAAAATGGAGAAAGGTTGCAATATGCTTGCGAAAAGAGTAAGATCAGCCTCACAGGATAAAACAGGCACAGAGTTTCCAATGAAATATCAATTATTTAAAACAAGGATCATGAACCTTTTTTACTCTTCTTTGCTTTTCGCACACACAAATACGTCAGACTTGGTCTCCCCAACCCCATGACATCACTCACCGGCGCCGGGACTCACACACAATTATAAATTATACCCCATGACCTCAACCCAGCAGCACTGCACCAGTATGAACAGCAGGAAGGGAGGCACCAAATGACCAGGGCACGTGACCCAGGAAAGGCAGGGCTGGAGGGCAGTCCCCAGCTTTTCCTGTGTCTGGTTCAGTGGGCTCTGCCCTCTACCCAAGCTCTGACAGAACTGCCATCAACACATTCTATCCAGGCTTGTTTCTTATCCAAATAAGGCCTGTGGGAAAGGCCTTCTCCAAGCATGCCCTGGCCACAGCCAAGCTGGCCCATCACTCCAAAAAAACCCAAACCAAACCCACTGCCTTCGAGTCAATTCCGACTCCGTATAGGACAGAGTAGAACAGCCCCACAGGGTTTCAAAGGTTGTAATCTTTATGGGAGCAGACTGTCACATCTTTCTCCTGTAGGGTGGCTGGTGGGTTCGAACTGCCTATCTTTCGGTTAGCAACTGAGTGCTTTAACCACTGCACCACCAGGGCATACCACTCCACTGATCACTAATGCCAATGCTATGAATGTCAAAAACCAGGAGAAGCTGGACCAGCCACCCTACTAACTCGCTATAGCCACGTTCACTTCTGCTACTCAGAACACTCTCAACGTCTGGGAGCCTTTAGCTAAACATCCAGAAAAAAAAAGTTTCATTTGAAACTGCTATTTTCAGTTGAGCTACACTTTGACCCAAACATTCAACAGCACTCCAGATGCTAATCTAAACACCACTTAAGAGACCTGAATAAACTATATCGATAGCTTTGAGACGTGTCATTCAAGGTGCCAGCGAGCCAGAGGTTTTAAATCCCATCTCCGTAATCTCCTTAAAATAAACTCAATCATGCTGAAATAAAATCACAGATGGAGCTCAACGAATTCAATCACATTTCAGAATGTCTATATTTGCATTTGATGAGAGGATTTACTAAAATATGAATTTAAGTTTAAATATGATGAAAATTCTAAGCAAAGCAAATATAGAGCAACATTTCAAAAACATGCAGATTTATTAGAAAGAGTAGTCCGGGATGTTAAAGCAGTACGTATGTACTTGAGAATCAAGTCAGGAAAAGAAAACAACTTGCAGAGTTTCTAAATTATCAGCATTAATGGATGGGGTTAAGGGCATGAAACTCTCTCTCAAAAGAACATAAACTATAAAACACGTATTAGCTTTATTTGGAAAGCATTTTAACACTAACATTTAAATATCAATATGCAACAATACTTTTAAAAAAATAATAAATAACACTGTGTTTCAATTAAAGCTGTTGCTAAATAGCCAGATCCCCTGCCTAGATTCAATAGCTTTGTAAGTATTTTTGCTAAGCACCAGTCAGAGATTATCTTGCTCTTCCTCCAAGCCTTTAAATTCTAGCTCATGTTGCTCAGGTGATTGCATATCTAAAGTCTCTCTTGTCAGTAAAGACACGAGTTCTCCTTTCTTTGTTAGCCAGCACCTACTAAACTTCAGGCAAGACTTATCAAGAATCAAGGGCACCCTAAAAAAAAGTGCCAGGTAAAATGTCAAGGAAGAAGTGAAGTAAGATCAAAGTGAGTAAAAACAAAATAATTTTCCTTTACAACCTTTTCGATAAACTGAAAGATTTGAATGAGCCCCAATCAACATTAAAAATAATAGAGTTGATTGCAGATATAAATGATATACTAATTAGGATGAATGCACTGTTGCAAAGGGAATAAATTATCTGAACAGTGAAAACCAACATAAAACACCTGTTGATATCTGGGTTTAATAGAATACTCCACAATCTCTTCCCCTAAATTTCAATTCAAAGATGAATACAAAATGGTTCAAGTGAAAATGGATTTGATCATCAAAAACTACTGACATTTAACCCAGTTTCTTCAACTGATACCAAAAATTACATGTGTGGGTGGGGGTTGGGGGTGGGAGGATGAAGTGAGCGGTGAAATGGAACACTGTGGGTACAGTTCAGAAAGCTTTTGACAAACGGAATGGTGCTCTGAGCAGCTCTGGAACTGGGAAAACATTTACCTACCGACTGTCTGCTGTTCTCATCATCTTCTTCTTCATAACCATCTTCATCACCCCCGAGGCGAGAAAAATCATCTTCTCCATAGGCTTCAGATACCAATCCACCTTTCTCTTCTGAAAGAGAACAAAAAAGTAAAATGAATGGGGAAAAAATGCAAGAAAATCCTCCCGTGACTTGAGTGGCTAGGACTATCTTGGAAAATAAAAGCGGAGCCTAAACCTCATGGAAGTAGGCCCAGATTCTGCCCTTGGAGGCCACAATTCAGTGAATGAGATCAATACAAGAACAGAGAAGTAAAGCCAAGTACTAAACATAAATGTTTCCGATGCTTTCAGGCCCTCTATTACGCCAGTTGATGTCTTCCCTTCTTTGAACTCCTGTAGCACATTGTTTGAGCACCTCTTTTGACATACGTATCTCTACTTAGTATCAGTCACCTGTGAACTTGTCTTCTCCTACAAGACAGACTGTCTTCCTCATTGCTGTGTCCTGCCCAGGAACAGAACCCTGGCCGTGGGGCATTCCAAGGGTTCCCAATCACAACTACTTGAGAATCAATATATTTTTCTATGTTTAAAACAAAACAAAACCCCACTGTTGCTGGGAAACCACCGGAGAACCTCCTGACAGGAAGAGATCACAGAAAACAACAAAATGTGAGAGGAGCAACCTATTTCACAATGGGCTCAGACATACCAAAGACCAAGAAGATGGCTCAGGGCTGGGCAAACTTTAGTTCTATTATACATAAGGTCGCCACGAGTTGGGAGCCGATTCCACAGCAACCAACAACTTATTTCAAACCTCTTCACTTTCCAGATGAGGAAACCAAGGCCCAGACATGCCAGGCAACTTGTTCTCCAGCTCCCAAAGAAGTCTGTTCCCAATTCTCTAACACTGTGATTCTCAGCTTGGGCAGGGCAACAAAATCACTGGTGGGCTTTAAAGAACTCACGAAGCAAGGAATCACAAATGCCCAGACCCTACCCTAGAGCTACAGAATCAGACTCTCTGCAGCGGGGACCAAATGTATACATTTTCAAAAGCTCCCAGATGCGACGGGGGCACACTCCTAATTAAAAGTTACAAATTTGACAAGACATAACCTTTATCACCCTCCATGTACGTTCACTCATCGCTTTCTCCCATCAAACAACAAGCCCGGAGGGAATAAGGAGTGGTTCAGTAGCCTTGGACCCCTCTCCCACTCTTCGTCAACCCCTCTGCCCAACACGATGCCCGGCACAGAAAAAACTTTCAATAAGTTTCGGCAGAATATTCTTAACAATCAGAAGGAGACGGTCCACTTTTACTAACGAGCCTCTAATGCTTTGTTCCGCCCAGGACCCCGGCCGCAGTTTAGGGCTCAGAGGACCGATACATGGGCCACAAAGACTGTCTTTTCCTGTCCCACCCCGCTAGGTGAGCACCATTCCGGGCAGACATCCGATTCTCTCCTTCCAACTCCCCACTTGGTCCTCACCAGTCGCGCTGCCCGCCGTTTCGACTCCACCTTCGCCGTCAGACTCGGGCTCTGAATCCTCCGCGTAAACTGCCAGAGACGACAGAACATTCTTCTTCCCCGCCATCTTACTGCCATAAGCCCAGAGCGGCTCACTTCTATGACTCAAAGAAGCCGACTGCCTTGCAGAAAGGCAACTTCTTCCGGATCTCACGAGATCTCGCGCCCACTGCTTACCAGGAACCAATCAAAACGGCCGTTCTTGCTCATTGCGCTGGCCCTCGCGCCAACGTTCTCTACACGTCATCACTGCGCGACGGATATAAGGTTGTGTGGGTTACCTTGAATTTCTTGCTGTCTAGCTTCTCAGGGTTGGGGTTGGCGAATGTGAGCGTCTTCAAGCAGCTCCGAGCCAGCGGGCAGCAGCGACCCGGCCACAGCCCTTCGGTCCCGGGCGGCCCACGGCCGAATCTGATATCTTGGGGTGAGGGGAAGGAGGCCGCGGGTGGAGAAGGGGAAAAGAGCGGATCTGGGGCTCAGAGGAGAAAGAGGAAAGAGCTCTCCTTTGAGGGGTGGGAGGGGTCGGGGTCCTGGGGAGAAGAATGGTTGTCATGGCTGTGCTTAACAAAGAAGGAGCAGAAAGTGGATCTTAGAAAAACAATTCCACGTTCCCCAAAGTATTCCGAAGACATTTGTGTTTCTTCTAGCTGTGTGCTACACCATGGCCTGGGGTGGTTCAGTTATTTTTACTTTCGCTGAGCGTGAAAGCAGAGATGTTAATTACTCAGGCATGTTAATCACCCGCAGTTATATCACTTGAGTGGATTCTGACTCATAGCGACCCTATAGGACAGAGCAGAACTGCCCCACAGGGTTTCCAAGGCTGTAAATGTTTAGGAAGCCGACTGTCGCATCTTTATCTCGCGGAGCAGCTGGTGAGTTCAAACCTCTGACCCGTGGGTAGGCAGCGGAGAGCTTTAACCACTGCAACCAGGGCTTCTTACTTGAGTGTAATAGAGCAAATGTATACTCAGAAAAATAGACTATTTTTTAAAGCATAACAGGGTTCTTGTGGCAATCATATGATCATCACCTTTGCCTTAACCTTTGGCCACTGTCTCTCGCCACGATGAGCACCCACCCTGCCTCCTTTCCCTTTGGCCCTGAACGTCGAGTCCGGAGCACGTTGAAGAAAGTCTTTGGGTTTGATTCTTTTAAGACGCCGTTACAGGAGAGTGCGATCATGGCTGTAGTGAAAGGTAACATTACCAAGCTACCTGCGTTTCAGTTTATGCCAGCTGTACTTTAGCACTGTAAAGAACACCTTCCTTCTGACTCTTCCTGCCTCCTCACCCTTGGTTCATAACTGGCTTTGGAAATATTGTCGACTTGTCACCCGAGGCATACATTTTAGTGGCGGAACCACCCAGGTGCTGTGGTTCTTACATTTCATAGCCAGAGCTACAGATTGTCTTTGGAAACAGTTTGTAGATTCCCATTCTTGTTCATTTGTGTGTAGGCAAGTAGTAGAGGTGACCAGAATAGCCCAATTTAGTCACTCACCTGGATAATCCCCTTGCCGAAGATTGAATGGCCTGGGTTCCAGATAGGACAGAGTAGAACTATCACAGAGGGTTTCATGGGCTGTAATCTCTATGGGAGAAGATTGCCAGGTCGAGCCACTGACCTTTTGGTTAACAGCCAAACGCTTAACCATTTTGCCACCAGGGCCCCTGGTGTTAGTGATATATTTAAAAACGAAAGACCTGTAAGTGATGTTGCTTCCATGTCTGCATTCATCAAGTAGCATTCTGCTTTCAGAGCTGTTTTGTTCAATCATCCATTTCCCAGCAGACTCAAACTTTCTTGCTCTCATAGTTGTTATTGCCATTACTGGAGATGGTTGCGTGTTTAAGCTGTACATATTCTAAGTCTCCCAGGATTATGCCCTTTTCACATATCCTCTTTCACAGAAAAGAGAGTAAGTATTATACTGAGACCCTCCCACGTGCCAGACACTCAGCTAGTTGTCTTTTCTACATTCTCTTTGATTTTAAACAACCTTGATGCAAGAAGAGGCGAGAAGCATTGAGATATTGCTGTCTTGTGTTTTTGCAGGGGACAAGGATGTCTTTGTGTGCATGCCCACAGGGGCAGGAAAATCCCTCTGCTATCAGCTCCCTGCCTTGTTGGCCAAAGGCATCACCATCGTTGTTTCTCCTCTCATTGCTCTGATTCAGGTGAGGCTTAGGGGGATGGAGATGGTAGCCAGAAAAAACTGAGGTAAGGTTTTTTATAGCTGGCAGTTTCACTTCTCCTTTATGTGAACCGTTGTCTCCTGTTTTCTCTGATTTACCTACCACCCTCTGTACTGGCTTTCTGAGTCACCCAAATGTGGGGTTCTCCGCTAGTGCCTGTCGCTTGGGTGTGCTCTGCATTCGTCTTCTGTGTTTTGATGGCCTGGGGTCCCTCACCCTCCTTGGTTACTTTTTGTCTAGAGGAGGATGGAACAGTATCTGTATTCACATGCACACACACGTGCACTCATGGTGCTGGGGATAGAAGAGTCAGATAGATGGATAGCGAGCTGAATTGATAGGGAGAGTCCCTCGTGTCCTGCTTCCTTCTGGCAAGGGCACAGGTATGTGAGACAGAAACAAAAGGAGAAACTGATCGGGACCTTGGCAGCACGTGCTTGGCACCTTCTGCTATATTTAAGGCCTGCAGATGGGCCAGTAGGGTCAGAATTGAGGAAGTGTGGGACACTGTAGTTAACGGCTATCCACCATGAAGATGGGAAGATGGGGACCAAGGATAACAAGAACGATACTTAGTGTTTACCACATCTTAGATTTTGCACTCAGTGCTTTATATATGCTACTGCATTTAGTTTTTATGATAGTCCTGTAAGGTGATTGCTATTTTTATCCTCAGTGGAAAAAGAGAGAGAGAAAGAGAAAACTGAGGTTCAGAGGTTTGTTGCTGTGGCTGTTGTGCGCTGTCAAGTCGATTCCTACTCATAGCGACCTTATGTGACAGAGTAGACCTGCCCCGCAGGGTTTCCTAGGCTGTAATTGTTATGGGAGCAGATCGCCAGGTTTTTTCTCCTGCAGAGTGGCTGGCGGGTTGAACTGTGACATTTAGGTTAGCAGCCAAGCGCTTAACCATGGTGCCACCCGGGCTCCTCTTAGAGGTTTGGGACCAGCCAAAGCACAAGTCGCGATTACATGAGCCAGGATTCAATCCAGGTGTGTCAGACTCCAGAGCTGTCCACAGCCACATCACATTCCGCCCTCCTTTTATTCAAAGAGGAGATGTGCTGGAGGGTGGGAGGAGAACATTTTTTGACTGGGAAATGCCCCCAGGGAGTCCCAGTGACTTCTGCTGCTGAGTCCTGAGGGTCAGTCACCCTTCCTTCTGTGACCTGTCCCACTTCTGCCCTCAGGACCAAGTGGACCACTTGCTGGCCCTGAAGATCCATGTGGCCTCCCTGAACTCGAAGCTCTCAGCGCAGGAGAGGAAGGAGCTGCTCTCTGACCTGGAGCGAGAAAAGCCCCAGACCCAACTTCTGTACATCACCCCCGAGATGGCCGCCTCCACCTCCTTCCAGCCCACCCTCAACTCCCTGGTGTCCCGCCACCTGCTCTCCTACCTGGTAGTGGATGAAGCGCACTGTGTTTCCCAGTGGGGGCACGACTTCCGTCCTGACTACTTGCGTCTGGGCGCCCTGCGCTCCCGCCTGTCACATGCCCCATGTGTGGCTCTGACGGCCACAGCCACCCCGCAGGTCCAGAAGGATGTGTTTACCTCCCTGCACCTGAAGCCACCAGTGGCCACCTTTAAGACCCCCTGCTTCCGGGCCAACCTCTTCTACGATGTGCAGTTCAAGGAGCTGCTTCCTGATCCTTATGGGAACCTGAGGGACTTCTGCCTTAAGGCTCTTGGGGAGGAGGCTGATAAAGGGGTGAGGCACTAAGGTTGGGGGCCAAGATACATTGAGAGCAGTGGGGTGCTCTCTGCAGCATGGATGGTCATCAGTTTCCTAAGACCTTTTCTTTTTCCAGCTTCCTTAGCCAGGACTAGCCATAGCTTTGTAAAACTCTGGCACAAAGAGAGTTGTCCCCTTAGCTTCCTGGCATTGTTCCCCTAATTGGGGTCCCCTTGTCCTGGATCTTCTGTGGAAGGCAAGCCGGGCCCTCCGTGTGAGGCCTGTGCAGACTGACACGGGTCTGAGGGGAGGAGGTAGAGGCGTTCATAGGCTGCGTGTTGAGCTGCTGTGATCCTGTGTTGTTCGAAAGTGGCAGAGCCCTGCTGGTGTCCTGCCTTAGAGGACACTGCCAAGGTTGACCAGAGGAAGAGCGTACGGCCGCTTTTTAGGCAGATCGCACTATAACAGGGAGCCCTGGTGGTGCAGTGGTTAAGCACTTGCCTGCTAACCGAAAGGTCAGCAGTTCGAACCCACTAGCCGATCTGCAGGAGAAAGATGTGGCAGTCTGCTTGCATAAGATGACCGCCTTGGAAACCCTACGGGACAGTTCTTCTCTGTCCTCTAGGGTCGCTGTGAGTCGGAATCAACTCCACGGCAGCAGGTTTGGTTTTGGGTTTTGGTCGTGCTCTAACAGGCTGCTCTTCCTGTTCTTCCCAACGCTCACTTTTTTCCCGTGTCTGCCCCTCAGTTTTCAGGCTGCGGCATTGTGTACTGCAGAACCAGAGAGGCTTGTGAACAGTTGGCGATAGAGCTCAGCTACCGTGGTGTGAGTGCCAAGGCTTACCACGCAGGTGAGGGCTGCCTGGGCCACGTAGCCCTCTTCATTCTCAGAGGCCTCTTAGCGGGTAGTCAGGTTGGCTGGTTAGGAATCTTGGATGATCAGGTAGTCTGTCATCTTTTTCCAGATTCTCAGGCAGAGCTAAAGGGATTAACTTAAAGCTGCTAAAAGGCGCTAGACAAGAAAGGGGTCTACAAGGAGAATTGTATTCCTGAATTGTTTCTCATCCTGTTCACCCCAGCAGCTGGTGATGAGTTTTTTGTTTGAATATATATATATATATATATACGTACGTGTATGTATATGCACGTATTTGTATGTACGTACATATATAAATATGTACGTATACACGTGTTTTTGTTTTTATTATTGTGGTAAATTTGTAGGTAGCAAAACGTTTGCCATTTCAACAGTCTCCACACGTAGCCTTCAGTGACATTAGTTACATTCGTCATGTCATTCAATTATCACCATTAACCGTTCCCAGGTTTTTCCATCACCCTTAACAGAAGCTCAGTGTCCCCTAAGGGATAGACACATTTTTAAAACAGCCACATGCAGCCTATGTTTGGGGGAGATTTTCTGACCTAGAGTAGCATTTATGCAGCTTTTACCCAGTGGAGCAGACCTGAAATCCACTCACCATCCGGCAGTGATCTTTAGCCCCCATTAGGCCAAAGACTGACATTGGCAGTGACTTTCCTCCATCTCTGGAGGCTCTTGCAGCAGCTGTGGTGGTGTCTAACTTTCTGTAATGGGTTGGAAAGAGCGCCTCATGAGGAGTTTCTATAAACCCAGGTCTCAGTGTGGTAGAAAGGGGGAGGCCTTGGAGGTCACTGGACTTCTGCTTGAATCTTAAGTCTGTTCCTCACTAGCACTGTGACCTTGAGCAAATCACGTAATCTTCCCAAACCTGAATTGCCTTTTCTGTAGAACAGGGGTGATATTTACCTTAGATTATCATGAGAATGGGATGACGTTGCTGCTTGGTTCGTGTTTGCTTAGCCCTCTGCCACGCATGAGCTGGGGTCTTGTGTTAATTAGCTGGGGCGCAGTGAGGGCCAGTACCCAGCCCGAGGTCACACAGCTGGTGAGGGGGGGATTCAGGGAGTGTGAAGTGCCCAGCACAGTGTAGACCCCAAGCCCACCCACAAGAATGTGACCCCCTCCCTGCCCTTCCCCTCCTTTGCAGGGCTGAAGGCGCCTGAGAGAACGCTGGTGCAGAACGAGTGGATGGAGGAGAAGGTCCCTGTAATTGTCGCCACAATTAGTTTCGGGATGGGAGTGGACAAAGCCAACGTCAGGTGAGCTATATGGTGCCTTCCCTTAGCATCCTGGTTGGGGCCTGGCTCCGGGGGAGCTGCCTGGTGCACTGCCCAGAGGACCAGGTCTGTGTGTGCCTTCTAGGGTCAGAGGGGAAGGAGGCTCTAGAACTCGGGTCCCTAGGACTTAGCACAAACACTGGAAGTCCCTGTGTACCTGCTCCCAGGTGACTGCACAGCACATTCCTGCTGCTCCCCCAGGAAAGCGGGCAACAGGCAGACCGCCGGGCTCGTCCATTAGCACGTGACTGCACAGCACGGTCCTGCTGCTCCCCCAGGAAAGCGGGCAACAGGCAGACCGCCGGGCTCATCCGTTAGCACAGCTATCTTTGAATGTCTTAGCTGATGGGGCCCGGCTAGGTGGCTGGAAGGAAGTAACTATTTTAAACTGCTCCCTGTGGGAAGTCAAAGGCAAAAGTCTAATTACCGCCATTCCTTGTTGCTGTTTACTGACAGTCTAGAAGAAATGGGGGGCACCCAGCCTCCTAGCCCCCTGGCAACTGTTGGAAAGTCTTGTATCTCCAGTCCAGCCACAGGCCTGAGCTTTGGGAGACATGTTGGGCTACAGCCTGAAGCTCCTTGCTCTGTTTAACACTGATCGTAATGTCGTGTATGGTTTAGGGAGCGTTTTGCACACAGGATCTTCTCGAGCCCCACAGTGACTCTGAGTGGACCAGAGGAGGAGTTATTCAGTAGACTATAATGGAGGCAACGTGAACTTTGGGATTGGAGTTTGAACCCTGGGTCTGCTGTGTCTTATTAGGAGCCAACTTTGAAGTCAGACACAAATCCTGGCTCTACTGGTCACACCCTAGCTTTGTGAACTTGTGCAAATTTACCTCTCTGAATCTCAAGTTCATCACCTGTCCAACGGGGCTGCCTCACACGGTGGTTCTAACGATTAACTGAGACGAGTAAACTGGCCCATAGCTGACATACGTGGGGTCACCATGAGTCGGCATCGATTCGACGGCAACTACTTTTATGCCTTTTCTAAGAAGTTAAAGGACTTACTCAAGGTTGTGCAGCTCATAAGTGGCAGAGCCTAATCCTGTTTTTTTTAAGTCTGGTATTTTTTTCCCCTTGGCCTCTGGCTGTGAGTTTTCTGGGGCTCCCCATGCATACTGGAATTGCCCCATGACTCCTGCTGTGGCCTCTAAGCTGGGCTGCTGCATGGCGAGGAGGCCTGCTGATGGACTGCAGTTGCCCTCGCCGTGCTTCCACGGGGTACTCTCTGCCCCCCACTCGCTAGCGTCCTTGCTCTCTGCCGGGCCGAGTAAGGATTACTCCTTCCTTCGCCTCATGCCATGTCTCAGGCTGCTTGTCTCTTTGGGTCCGGCAGGTTTGTTGCCCACTGGAACATTGCCAAGTCTATGGCAGGCTACTACCAGGAGTCTGGCCGGGCAGGCAGGGATGGGAAGCCCGCCTGGTGCCGTCTCTATTACTCCAGGAATGACCGGGACCAAGTCAGCTTCCTGATCAGGAAAGAAGTAGCAAAACTCCAGGTAAGTCCTGACCAGTAGGGGCCCTTCTTGTCTGAACCCACCACTCTCCTGATTTCACACGGCTTATTTCTGAACCCAGATGGAACCGTAAGCTAGAGGGGGTGTTCCTGGGCTTAGAAAGTATGGCAAGGGTGTCACTGTTTTTTTTTTAAAAAAAAAACCTGTTGCCATCAAGCTGATTCCAACTCATAGCATCCTATAGGGCTTCCAAGGCTGTAATCTTTAAGGAAGCAGACTGCCACATCTTCCTCCTGCAGAGAAGCTGGTGGGTTTGAACCGCTGATCTTTTGGTTAGCAGCCAAGCTTTTAACCACTGCACCCCCAGGGCTCCTTACTGTGTGTTAAATGGGGAGAGAAATGGTGTGTTGAGTGGGTAGGCAGATTGCAACAACCTAGGTAAGACTTTTTTTTTTAATGAACATCTATGTTAATAACAGTGTTTTGATTACATGTTAGTTTACGTAGTCAAGATCAATTCTGCCTTGTTTTAATTAGCATTGTTATGTAAGCATTTTCGCATATTGTTTTAAATTCGTTTTGTTCTTAACCATTTTTCACTGGTTATACATTCTTTGCAGAGAGCCTAAAACAGACCCAAGTATATCAGGTAATTTGGTATGTGGTAGGCAGCATTACAGATCAATAAGAAAAGGATGAACGGCTGAATAATTGGTGCTGGAAAAAGATAAAATTAGATCTTTATCTCTTATCACACACCAATAAATTACAGATGGGTTAAAGATGTAAACACGAAAACTGAAAAATTAGGCAGGGGAATATTTTATGACCCTGAGGAAGGGAAGAGTTATGTCAAGATTTAAAAAGCAGAAACCAAAAAGGAAGACGTGATCTGTTTGACTTAATTAAAACTAAAAACTTCTATATGAGAGCCACCATAAACAAATGGAAGAAACGAGCCATTATCAGGGGAGATATTTGCAGTACATATAATTGACTGAGTACGTAGAGAACGCCTACAGGTAAATAAGAAAAAAGGTACCCAACTGTATAGCAAAATGTACGGATGGGCATTTCTCAGACAAGGACACCAGAACATCTGGTAAATAGATGAAGAAGTGCTGAATCTTACCTAGGAATCAGAGAAATGAAAACAGCAAGCTGTTGGTTTATACTCACCAGACTGGCAAAAACATAGAAAGTCTTTGTGCTCGCTGTTGGTGAGGACGTGGAGAAAGGGTAGCTCTTACAGTGTTGTTGGGAATAGAAACTGCTGTGACTGCTTTGGAGAGAAATGAGCTGGTACTTACAAGGTGGAGGATACCGGTGCTTTATAATTCAGTAATTCCACTGCTAGGTAGACAAGTGGTCTTGTGTGCAAGGTAACATGTACAAGGATGTTTGCTGCGATACCATAATAGTGAAATCTAACTCTCTCCCTGGAGGATAGTAGATAAATAAACTGGTTTAGTCACACAGTGGAATATTCTAGAGCAGTTAAAAATGAACATGCTAAATCTACGTGAATCAACATGGATAAATCTCCCCAAAGCATAACGTTGTGTGAAAAAGCAAAAGGGTACCTGTAGACTTTTGGTTAAAAGAAGCAGGCTGAACACAGTACTTCTCTCTGATCCCCTCCAAAATGACAATAAAGGAATAAAACAGTATAAACTCAAAAGGACAAGGAGAAGACAACAGCAGATAGAAATGTCAACAAGAGTCTGCCTAGAAAACCCCAAACCCCGCTAGACTTCTACTAGAATTCGTAAGAAAACCTGGCAAGATGGCTGAATACACAAGAAGTATTTTAAAAATTACTAGCTTTTCTCGACACTAACATAAATACCTAAAAATGGAAATGAAATGTATTTAATTTGCGAGAACAAAAAATTATAAAATACCTAGGGATACATGTTACGGGCTATTAACAAGATGTTTTACTTTTTTAAACAGAGTTTTTTTTTAAAACTCCTCAGATGATTTTAAGATGCCTCTAGGGTTTAGAACCACTGACTTAGATGAAGAAAACTTAAAAAAAAACTCATTGAAATGTTCTGCATCCCACTTTGGTGAATGGCATCTGGGGTCTTAAAAGCTAGCAAGCAGCCATTTAAGATGCATCAGTTGGTCTCAGCCCACCTGGAGTAAAGGAGAATGAATAACACCAAAGACACAAGGAAAGTATTAGCCTAAGAGAAAGAAAGGGCCACATAAACCACAGACTTCATCAGCCTGAGACCAGAATAACTAGATGGTGCCCAGCTACAACCAATGACCACCCTGATAGGGAACACAACAGAGAGTCCCTGACGGAGCAGAAAAGTGGGGTGCAAAACTCAAATTCTAGTAAAAAGACCACACTTAATGGTCTGACTGAGACTGGAGGGACCCCAGAAGACATGGCCCCCAGACTCTCTGTTAGCCCAAAACTAAAACCATTCCCGAGGCCAGCTCTTCAGACAAAGATTAGACTGGACCTTGGGACATAAAATGATACTTGTGAAGAGTGTGCTTCTTAACTCAAGTAGACACATGAGACTAAATGGGCAGCTCCTGTCCAGAGGCGAGATGAGAAGGCAGAGAGGGTCTGGAGCTGGTTGAATGGACACGGGAAATCCGGGGTAGAAAGGAGGAGTGTGCTGTCAGTATAGGGAGAGCAACTAGGGTCACATAACAATGTATGTATAAATTTTTGTATGAGAGACTAACTTGAATTGTAAACTTTCACTTAAAACACAACAATTAAAAAAAAAATCTCGTTGAAGGATGCAAAACAAAATCTGAACAGGTACAGAAATTAGGTGGGAAGATATAAAACTGTTAGTTCTCCCCAAAACTAATGTAAATATTTATTGACGTTCCAAGTAAAATGCCCAGAGGGACTAACTGGGAAGTGGAGAATTTATGTGCAGGAATAAGTGCCAATAAATATTCACATCCATAGTAGATGATGAGAGAGAGCCACATCTTCACCTTCCAAGGCAGAACGTCGATAGATTTTCTGAGTTATGAGTGTCTGTCCTCTCTGCTTTTCTGTATTCTTTTAATTTCAGAAACTTTAAAGGAAATTTTGGCAAATAGATGTATAAAAAGCCATATAATATATAATCCCATCACTCAAAAGTAATCACTGCTAACGGTGTATGTCCTTCCATCTATGCACAGGTATATGTTGTTGTCGTTACGTGTCATTGAGTCAATTCTGACGCATAGCAACCCCATGTGACAGAGCAGAACTGCCCCATAGGGTTTCTAGGCTGTAATCTTTATGGAGGAGAAAGATGTGGCAGTCAGCTTCTGTAAAGATTTACAGCCTTGGAAACCCCATGGGGCAGTTCTCTGTCCTATAGAATTGCTATGAGTTAGAATCAACTCGATGGCAGTGGGTTTGGTTTTTAGTCTTTATGGGAGCAGATCACCGGGTCTTTTCTCCTATGGAGCTGCTGGGTGAGTTCGAACCGCCAGCCTTTCAGTTAGCAGCCGAACTCTTAACCATTGCGCCACCAGGGCTTCTTATGCATAGGTATATGTGTTTACACATACGTAAGTAGAAACATTTACGTGTATGTTTACTATTAAAATTAGATCATATATGCAGTGGTTCCTAAATGCCAGTCCATGGGCCTTTTTAATGTTTTTCTCCCAGATCATTTTTTTGTAGTCCAACTATGTTTAAGACTTTTGCTAAGTGGCCATTTCTTGTCTCCAGGAAAAGAGGGGGAACAAAGCGTCTGATAAAGCTGCCATTTCGGCCTTTGATGCCCTGGTGACCTTCTGTGAAGAAATGGGGTAGGTGACTTATATTGTGCATGGGGCAGAGCCAAGTGTTGGCGAGATCGTTTCCTTTACCAGCACCAGCACCTGATTAACCAGCTAATGCAGGGCAGCTTGGGGGCTACCAAGGGGACCCTGCCTGCTGAAGGCCATTGGGTGGGCCGTTTCTGTCAGGCAGCACTGTTCTTTGGGAGACCCCAGAAACTCGGGCTGTCTGCGGATTTTTTTGGTATTTTGGGTGGTCATCCAGTACCGCCTGCACCACCCCCTTCTGGAATGGCTGGCCCTGTGGGTGACTCAGTCCTGAGCAGAGGGGCCAGTCCTGAGCTAATGGCGTTGTGGTCATCACATTCCAGGGAGCGGGGTTCTGGCTTCACTTGAGGAATAGTCACCCTTTTCTCTAAGGCCCACACAGAGCATGTGACCAGCTTACCTCTTGGCGGGAGCAGTAATACGTTTTGAGAGGAAATCAACTCTCTTTTCTAACAGAACACAGCCCATCTACTCGGAACCCACTGACCTATTTTATCTGCCCCTGATGGTGGTGGGGGCATGGAAGGATAGGCTGTGGCAAGGTGGGCTGCAGGCGGGCAGGCACAGCTTTTTTGTTGTTGTTGAAAGTGGAGGAAGAAGCTTTATTTGGTTGACCAAGCAAAGGAGCACATGGGGGCTTGTGTTGCTAAGATGGCTCCCTGAACAATGGCCCAAACAGTATTTATTAGGGGAAGGGTCCTGGCAGAGAGGAGCAAGGTTGTTGATTGGTCTGGCCCGAAAAAGACATTCCTGGGGCAGTTCTGTCGTTGGGCAGGCACAGCTTTGTGGGTGCGTGTGTGAGGGACATCAAGGGGACTCTTCACAGGCTGGAAACACCTTGCATGTGTCTGGTACTTTGACTCGTCTGATCTCACTGGTTCTCTTCAGAACCTTGTGAGGTAAATGAGGCAGAGATTATTGCTTCAGATTTATAGATGAGTAGACCGAGGTGGAGGGTGGTCAAGGTCGCAAAGCTCACAGAAGACAGAGACGTCACTAAACCCAGGACTCTGATTTTCACACACCTGGGCTATCTCAGGTTTTGTGAGACTAGCTTCTGGAAGATTGGTGCTGATTAAGTGCGTGGTAGCGTCATCTGGCCACTATTTTGGACTGTCCTCTGGAAACTGTTGTTAGGCGTTGTTGAGCCAGTTCCGACTCATAGCGGTCCTATGTACAACAGAATGAAACACTGCCTGATCCTGCACCATCTTCACAATCGTTGTTATGCTTGAGCCCGTTGTTGCAGCCACTGTGTCAGTCCATCTCGTTGAGGGTCTTCCTCTTTTTCACTGGCCCTCTACTGTACCAAGCATGATGTCCTTCTCCAGGGACTGGTCCCTCCTAATAATATGTTCAAAGTACGTGAGATGAAGTCTCGACATCCTTGCTTCTAAGGAGCATTCTGACTGTACTTCTTCCGAGACAGGTTTGTTTGGGCTGTGTGTTTTGATTCCCACACCCTCCTGGGCTCAGCTGTCATTCCCACTGGCTCTGATGGGTTGGTGGCTCCTGGACTGAAGCTCTTTCCTTCTCCAAACCAAAATCAAGCCAATCCCATTGCCATTGAGTTGATTCCGACCCATAGCGACCCTAAAGGACAGAGTAGAACTGCCCCATAGGATCCCAAGACTGTAATCCTTATGGAAGCAGACTGCCACATCCTTCTCCCACAGAATGGCTAGTGGGTCCAAATTGCCTATCTTTTGGTTAGCAGCCAAGTGCTTAACCATTGTGCCACCAGAGCTCCTTCCTTTTCCATACAGCCATCTCTAATTTGGCCTCTGTGGCAATACCATGCCCAGCAGAGGGGTTGGCTGCAGGACCAGCCCCACCCTTGCTCACAGGCGTTGCCACCAGCAGCCCTTTTCAGGCACTAGGACAGGGAGTTGCCATATTGGGCCTTCTTGGGCTCCTGAGCAAAGCTCTCTAGTGAGGAATGAAAGGACCACGTGTTCTTGCCAGCCGTCAGAGTCCCCTCAGCTGAAAATAACTGTCGCTGGGTTCTTGTCTGGGGATGAATCTGAGGCTCAGCAGGGCTGTTGTTGGTTGCCATTGAGCCAGCTCTGACTCATGGCGACCTTATGTATAACAGAATGAGTCATTGCCCAGTCGCGCACCATCCTCACGGCTGTGGGTATGTCTGAGCCCACTGTTGCAGCTATTGTGTCCGTCTGTCCCATGGAGGGTTTCCCTCATTTTTGTGATCTCGGTGAGGTTATCTCTGCCACAACCCAGAGCCTGCTCTGTAAGCAGCCCACCAGGCAAGGGGAGAGAGTCTCTGAGGGGCCTCTCCTCTCACTCCTGTCTCCTATGGGGAGCTGGGGCCTCTTAGAGCACCAGTGGCCTGGGGAGTCCATGTGACGGCCCGCTCCCCGAGGTGTGCCTCATAACCCCCTCTCTCGTTCACTACATGTGAGGCTTCCAGGCCCCAGGGTGGAATAAGCACTGCTGGTCTGGCTGGCTTTGAAATTGCTCTTTGGATGAAAGGGCACGTTTATTGCATAAATGTGTAGTGTATGAGGAGAAAGACCTCACCTACCAGATGTTTGCCACCTTCCCAAGAATAACTCTAGTTTGAGGTTGAGGTTGAAGCAGCTGCTCCCACTGGCGATCCTTGGGGAGGGCACCTGGCAGTGAGGGATGGGGCTGGCCCTCAGGAGTCAAAAGAGGCGAGTACATTGCTTCAAAGGCAGCCGTTGTGGGGCCTGAGGCACAGGAGGTGGGTCCTAGGAGGGATACCTGGGTCTCTGGGACCAAAAAGAAGAGGCTGGGGTCCACTTGGATGAGCTGGGTGGGGCAGCCCATGGCTTCCCCTCTTCTCTGCAGGCAGCTGCTTCCTCTGAGGTAAAGCCATGGCTAAGAAGCATTGAGTATTCACGACCGGGTTTTATCTTGTACTGTTGCAGGGAACAGTAATCAGGTCTGAAGCAGCGTCAGGCCTGGAGGCCTGGGCACTTTGTCTGAGGTGGAGAATGGCTGGCATTTTAGGCCTGGACTGAGTCGGCTCTGTCATCTCCCAGGAGCTCTGGGCTCAGGGAACCCAGCAGCCCAGCATCCTCCCATTTATCCATTTGTTTTCTCATTTGTTCATTCATTTGTTCAACCAACAAATAGTGATTGATGCCGATTCTGTGCCACACACTGTGCTTTGGCCATTGGGGATACGTTGGTGAGCGGGAGACCCACCCCCTGCTTTTATGGCGCTCATCCAAGCGCGGGAGACACTTATCAGATAAACACCTAGAAAATGTAGAATTCTAGGTTGTTAAAGGGCTTTGAAGAAAAGGTCCATGGTGTTTTAAGAGTGTGTGACGGTGGCCTTCCCCCAGTCTCGAATGTTGGGGAAGACCTACCTGAGGACATGACGTGTGGACTGAGAACTGAAGGGTGAGGAGGCATCAGCTGGGTCAAGGAGTGACGTGTGACGTGAGGGAGAGCACCCCAGCCGAAGGGAAGAGCATGTGCAGAGGCCCGGTGGTAGGAAGGGCAGGGCAGATGCAAGAACTGAAAGAAGGCCCAAGAATGGGGGAGGGGGAGGTCCGGCTGGAGAGCCAGGCAGGAGCCAGACCACACAGGGCCTGGCAGGGAAGGCCACCCTCGTGGCTCTGCCTGCACAGAAAATGAACTCTCACGGGACAGCTGATTTAAGAAGGAATTTTTACTTGATCCAGTTGTTTTGTGTTTCTTCTCTGCCACGCCTTGCAGAGTTCCTGCTGAGCCTGTGAGCGCGTGAGAGGCCCAGCTGGCTGCTGCTGCGTTCACCTGCAGCAGCACGGAGCCCTCCATGTGTTCTCAGGTGTCTGCTGGCGGCAGGGTGGGGAGGCCCCAAGTCTGTCTCATACCAGCCTTTCCACCTGGCCAGTCTGGAAAACCCCTAAGCCAGAGCCAACATTCGACTGGATTCATTCCTAAAGGAGAAGCAGAAACCAGGGCTTGGTCCCTGAGCCAGAGGGGACCGCCGCTGGTACGGGTGAACAGGTCAGCCTACCTCCCCCGAATCCTTCACAGCCTCCAGGTGCTCAGATCCCATCTCTTCACAGGGGTTGGATGTATCAAACGGAGGGAGTAAACCAAACACAACAGCAAACAAGATGAGAAAGAGGATCGTAGTGAGGAATAAGCCGATCACAATCAGGCCTCCCAGGTCCCAGGGGTTTTGCCAGAACTCATCTTTCCAGCTGAGATCCAGACTTGCCATCAAGTCACCCACGTGAACCTAGAAGAGAGGAGGGAGAGGCCCTGAGCACAGAGCCCTTCCAGGCCCCGTCCCGGCTCAGACCCCCCGCTCCCCCAATCCTGCCATGAGCAGTCTCTCGGACAGTCCCTGACTTCCACAGCGCCTGGACACTGAGGGGCGGCGGGTTGTTGAGCTCATGGCTCCAGCCGGCAGTGGGTGGCGTTTCCTGCAGTGTAGAAATGGGAGCAGGAGTGGCCCCAGGGGAGGCTGCCTCTGGCCTCGAGAGTCAAGGACGTTCTCTGCTGCCCGAGACCTACTCAGCTAGAATCAGAAAAGCACCACTCCTGAGCCACCCTGTGTTTCCTGCGCCATTTGCCAGACATGTTGGAGGCAGCTTGAGAGATCAGTATAGGAGCCGAGGAGTGACCTGACTCAAGCTGAGGTCCCGTGAACATCCCAGGAGGCAGTGGAAAGCAGAGGGACTAATCAGTCCTCTCAAAGTTGGGCTAACGTCGGCCGGCTGCGAGCCTGCAGCCAGTGGAAGGGAGGAAAGGTAGAGAAGGAAGGGTTACCTGATTCTGTGGTTACCTCTCCTGTGATCTGCAGGAAGGCAGGCCAGGGCGGTCCCCCAGGCCCCACACTGTGGGGAGGCCTGAGCAGAAGAGGCCACCAGATGACCAGAGCTTCGCCCTGACTCAGAGAAGCAACTGGTGGGGGGACAGGTGTTAATGTTGCCACTGTCCTGAAAGACCCTCATTGCCATCCCCAAAGCCAGACAGAGGTGGACTAGGGCCCATTGCCTAGCAACCACAGTTCCCTTTCTTCCTTTCGCAATTGCCCCCTCAGCTGTGCCCCATCCTTTGTGATGTCATTTTGGGTGGCTGCTCAGGGGACCTGTGTTAGGGAGCCCTCCCTGAGAGAGAGAAGTCCTGTGGTGGGTGGGAAGAGGCCGGATCGGTCCTTTGCCCAGGCCACCCCCTCACCTGAGGCTGGGTCTTGTTCTCCTCTCTGTCCAGATGGCTGCTGACCGAGAGGACGTGCCAGAGCTCGGGGCGCCCTGGGGCTGGCGCTGCCTCATAGTCTCCTTGTTCCGTGTGATGTGGGGTGAATGATTAACGAAGTGCTGGCTGGCACCTCCTGGAACTAGCTCTGGGTGGAAGTGTTTATCCCCACGGAGGCTCCTGGCTCCTGAAGCAGCCCAGCTTCCTCCTCGGTGCCTTTGTCTGCCTTGGTGTTGCTGCTTGTGGTTGGTTCCTACCCACCGGCGAGAGAGGGAAGCTAGCAAGAGGGAATGGAGCCCGGGCCCCGGTGTGTGAAACCCTCTGGCCACTGTCCATTCCTTTAAAAGCTGTGAGTTCCTGTGATGGCCAGGAACTGCGCTGGGCACTGTGTCCAGTTGTGAACCAAGAGCCACAGGCCCTGCCTCCTGGAGCTTACATTCTCATGAGCCGGCGCCCTACCCCGCATGCTGGAATCATCTAGAAGCTTTTATAAATGCCGATGTCCCGGCCCCACCTCGTACCACTTAGGTCAGTCTCAGAGTGCCAGGGCATCTGTATTTTTTAAAAGCTCCCCGGTGATTCTGGTGTGCAGCTAGGGTTGATGAGACAGGCGATGAGCAAGTTCAGTGAAATTATCCTGAACTAGCAGGGGCTTAGCTGACCCCTGGCCTGCCTGATGCCTTCCCTGTCCCTCTGTAAAACATGCTGACTGATGCCTGTGGCGTGCTGAGTGTCACGGCCCGTGGGCTCATTTCCAGCACCAGGTACTTAGGCTTCATCAGTTAAGTTGGATGCTCAAGAGTCACTTGTTTGTCGCCAAACCTGTTTACGACAGCTGCACTTGTTATTGTAATTACTTGATTGAATTGAACTTTACATAAACAAAGGAAGCAGCAATGATAGCTGAAACCCCGGTTTTATAGATGAGAAACAGGCGCAGAGAGGTTGAGTAACTCACCCGAAGTCATGCAGCTAATAAATGATCGAGTGGAGGTTTGAGCCCAGCAGTCCAGAATCTGAGCTTGTAAGCCCTACGGTGTGCCTCCAAGTGAGTGGAGAAAGAAAGTTGTTCTGTTTGAACACTTTGGCATGACTTTGGAATTACTCAAATAATATCCCTGTCAGAATAGGTGTGGACAAGACTGTTGTAAAACGTTGGGGCCATTGTGTAAAGGTCCACCAAGATCTCACGCTCAGATTACTTTGCAAATAATGTCTTTTAAGTTCTTGTTCTGCTTTAAAGAAACCAACCTCGAAAACAGACAGCTCAGGCACTCTGCTCAGCAGACCCGCGTACTCAGAGAAAAGACTCTGGCCCGACATCAGAGGATTGGCTGAGGAATGGACGAGTGTGTTAATTGTATTTGTATTAACGTTTTAAATTAAAACGAGAGGACGATGTGTTGGGTACACAAAAGCTTTATCAGCCAACGATTCCGATCGGGTGATTCCGCTGCAGTGGAAACTATGAAGAGAATGCTGTGATGGGGAGAGGCGGAGAATGCGAGGCGCGTACAGCCTGGGGGAGGGAGACTCCCCTGGAAGGAAGCAGTGTTCACGGTGTGAAGAATACAGAACACATAAGCGTTAGAATTAGGGGGACAGTGTTCCTTGGGAGGGACCAGGTCCCAAGGAGAGTGGGGAAACTTTAGGGGCAGATTAATTTTGTCCTGTGTTTTATGATCTGACGTTTGTATCACCCATAAGCACACCTGTTATTATGAAGATTTTTGTTGCAGATTGCTTTAAAATGTTAGGTTTAATTTTGAGAAAACTGTTTTTGCGTGAGCTCTGCCAAGTTTTGCTGATGAGATTCTCGCACTGGTGGCCTTATTCTAGTGTTTGATATTGTACAGATGGAGTCCTTGGGTGGCACAAATGGTTAATGCACTCAGCTGGGAACTTAAATGTTGGTGGTTTGAATCCACCAGAGGTGCCTTGCAAGAAAGACCTGGAGATCTCCTTCCAAAAAATCAGCCACTGCAAGCCCTTTGGAGCACCGTTCTACTTCGACACACACGGGGTCACCATGAGTCGGAGTTGATGCAGTGGAACCTGGTTTGGGTTTTTTGGTAATGTACAGACAGTAGAATGCACAGATACTAAGTGTGGGGTGAAGTCATTTTGAGGAACCGAAAGAAGACCTCTGTGTGATGGAGCAGAGAGGCCCCAGGTGGGGAGGCCTGGAGAGGCTGGGGAGATGGTGGAGGCCAGCTAGGACGCTGCAGCAGTGACCCCACGCAGGTACCGAGGGTGGCTTGGCCGTTGTGGCCGTGGAAGCAGAGAGGTGTGCGGCCAGAGTCGGTGAGACGTTTTTCAGGCCTGTAACGCAGCCTGTGGCCACCCTCTTCTGTGGCCACCATCTGTTCCAGGCAGCCCCTTGCTGGGCCTCTCTGTTGATTGTTTCTAGATCAGGACCACAGTGCGGAATTGCTACCTCCTCTCCATGCCCATCCTCCCCGGAGACTCCCATGCCAGGGACTGCCCTTCCAGGGGTATGTCCCAGGCTGCTGTCAGCTAGGTCAGATCTGGCTTGTTACCAAGTGTGATTTGAGCCTGCTCTAGACTATGCCCAACATCAGGGGAAGTTATCGGTGCCCGGGCCCAGTGTGTGGGGAGGAGGAAGCCCTCTGAGGGCAGGGACAGCATCTTATTGGACTCAGCGTCATGCGCTGCCTGGGGTGGAGGAGGAGAGTGTAAATGAGCTGCCACTTCACCATTCTGCACTTAGTTGTCCACTGCCTGCTCCCTGCAGCTGGACCAGGCAACCAGTAGCTTTTCTATTAAAGAGGCTCAAAGGGGATGTTCTTGGTGCTGAGGAACACTCGCCAAAGGAAAAGTCAGCCGGTAATCGGGCAGCACACTGAGCCAAGGGCTCCTGGAGACCCTCCAGCTGCTGTGCTAGGACTGAAGAAGGCAGGCCTTCCGCATCCCTCCCCCGCCCTGAGTCAGTTTTTCTTCTGGGAAGAGATCTGGTTGGACCCCACCCCAGCCCCTACCTGCTGGGTCCCACCCGCTGATAGATAGGGAGGAGATTTTGAGACAGAGTTTGGGGTGTGTATATTTGGGATGTAGGGCTGGTTGATGGAAGATACGGAACAAGAGCTGTATCTGTACTACATCTGGGTGTGGAGGTCAAAGCAGGGCTCTGGAGCCAGATGGGCTGGGCTGAGGCTGGCTCTGCCACTTACAGCTGGCTGCACTGAGACAAGTCGTCTTCACCTCTGAAATATGGGCATAGTAATGGTATCTACTGCGTTGAGGTGTGGTGATGATTCAGTGAATTTATCTACATCAAAATGCTTATTAAAGCGATGCCTGAGCAGGTGTCAGCCTTCACGGAACACTGGCTCTCTGTCACCATCACCATCATTACTGTCATCATCACTTTCATTACCATCATCATCGTCATGGATCCCATTCTTTGCTGGGGGGGGGGAGGGTACAGATACAGACAGAATCTTGAATTTATTTTCCTTTTTTAAATTTTGTATGGAAACACTTCCTCTCTGGATCTTCACCCTAAACCTGTTGGGTGAGTCTGTGGAAACCAGGAAGTGAAACCAGTGCATCACCTGCCCAGCCTGTCCCCACCGGTGCAGCCTGGATCGCCAGCTGGAGAGAGCAGTACTGGTGTCCCCTGCCCACTCCCTGTTTTCTGGTGAACAGGTCTCTGCTCCCTGGGAGCCCAGGCTTCGGCCGCGTGGCACAAGATGACAGAAGCATGTGGAACACATAGACTTTATGGCTCTGGAGGACACGTGGGGATGGGAAGGGAGTGCTGTTGGTGCTCTGTCCTGCCCCATTGGCACTTAGGGAGCCTTGTGCCTCCCCTGCCCTCATTCCTGGCTTTGTCATTCCACTTGCAAAGTTGTCTGAAGACAGGAAACTCGGGGGAGGGGACAGGAAGTTGTTGCATTTCAGCAGGACCAGTCCTCAGAATGAGGACTGTGTCACTCTGGGTTGGCGCCGTCTTTAGAGGAGCAAATATAACGATAGCTCATGCTTGCAGAGCCCTCGGCAGTGTGCCCAGCACGCGCCAAGTGCCTGACGTCGGTCATCTCGGTTTATCTGCACAAGCGTGCCTTTGGTGGGAGGTACACACTTCACAGGGAGGACGCGGTGGCACGGGGGGTGATGTCACTACCTGCATTCACTCAGCCGATAAGTGGCGGAATGAGGATTTGAACCGTGATACTTTGCTACATGTACAGATGCCATAGGGGTGAGGCAGTTGGCATGCAGGTTACAGACAAGACTAGGGCTGTACCTCTCTTCTCTTACTTCAGAAGCTTGGGGAGACCCAGTGACCGGAGCCTGCTGGTCTGGGCTTTTGAGGGAAGTGAATGGCAGTGGAAAGTGTTCAGTGGCTCCTGAGCCTGGCACCTCCTGGGGTCAACAGCCCCGGCACTCATGGCGGGTGTCTGGGAGCCAGAGCACGCTGGCAGCCCTCACTTGACAGGTCCCTCCCCACCCCACCCGTCCCAGGGCATGCCCGCCTGTCCCTCTGTGTCATTCCTGCTTGCTTGTTTTCCAGCTCTCACGGGCACAGGGAGCACGGGGGCCTGGGAAGGCCAGTCCCTGATCACACCCTGGAATTCTGGCCCACGGCCCTCCCATGCCTGCAGCCCAGCCCAACCTGCAGGGAGTCTGGCGCCACAGAAACATGTAACTAAAAGCTTTTACTTGGAAAGAAATGGGCAAATACTGGAGTAGGATACTGACATGTTCCTACTTGAGCAGGGATCTTGGTGTCCAGTAGCTGTTGCACAAAGTCCCTCTGATTAGCTTGTGCCAACTCCTTGGAAGAACCCCCAGAGCCAGCTCCCCACAGGTGCCGGCTCTTCTCCCTCAAGAGATGGGGTCCTGCTTCCCTGTTCTGTCAGAAAGTGCAGGTCGGCAGAGAATCCGGGGTGGTGTTCTCAGTCTCTGAGACAGTCGCCGCCTCCTCGGCACCCGGTGTCCCCTGGGAGCTGAGAAGTTTGTCCCTGTAACAGCCCTATGTTCTTAGAAGGCTCCAGTGTCCAGGTACCCGGGCAGGGCCAGAGCTAGGCCGGTGGCTCTCTGTCCTGAGCTGGTGGCTCTCTGTCCTGGGCTGAGGGTTGCAGGGTGGCTGATTGCCTGTGTTGTGGCTGGGGCCCAGGCTGCGGCAGGCTCCTCTCCAGCTTCTCCTCAGTCGTCCCACCATCTCTCACGGCAAGGTCACAGGCCGCACTTGGATCTTCCTGCCGCGCTGCTGGGGGCAGCAGCAGTGGACGCAGCAGCAGCTGCAGGCGATGAGCAGCAACAGCAGGACTGTGGCTGGAGGTTAGGGAGCGAGAAGGCAGAGAGCACAGGGAACTCAGGGGGGAAGAGGAAGAACCCCAACTTCGGAGGAAGCCTCTGGAAGTGTGTCAGGGCCATTCCAAAGGCCTGTTCAGTGGCCAGAAACCCCAAGAGTCTGACAGGAGTCATCGGCCATCCCCATGCCCGCCACCAGGGCCCTGGCCTTCTCCCTGTGGGGTCGTCTCCGCTGCCCAGAGCTTTATTTTGTTCCTGGGATGGGAGTGCTGGGTGCTGCTGGGTCCTGGTCCCCACCCTGCCCATCACTTAAGCAGCAGGGATGGAGTCTCCTTTCCCCATTAGCTTAACCAGCCTGCCAGACGATCAGGGAAGTCCTTTGTCTGCTTCTCCTTCACCACTCTGTCCTCCTCCATCTGGAGACCCCCAGCCCTGATGGGGCATGCCCAACTCACCTACGAAAAGGAGGATGACAGAGAAGGCCACCACCTCCACGGGCTCCGCCTGAGGCAGACTCTTCAGCTTGAGCAGCAGCCTCTGGCCCACGGCGTGCATCTCCTGCATGAAGCTGGGGGCTGCCATGGTGTGCTGGGCACCCGCCAGGCTGTGCTGAGGCAGAAAGAGCGCCTGACGTTTCCTGGGATTGGCACCACACTCCTTGCCACCCCGAGAGCCGCCCTCTCACCGCCCTCTGCCCGCCGAACGAGTTGGTCCGGTCTCACTCATCGTTCCCTGGTGGCTCACGAGGGAGAGAGGGGGTTGGGGCCCTCTGCTCAGCAGTGGCCCCTGGCCCCTACCTCTCTGGCACTACCCAGGGGGAGTGAAGTTGGGGGGCTGCTGCTCAGCGGAGCAGGGCACTGGAGGCTCTGCCCGCCGGCCAAGGTCAGGGAGTTCTCTGGCTGCGAGGTGGATGACTTCATGGCTGCATTCCCTTGTCCCAAGACACCACTCTGAGGTTCCGTCATGCACCCCCGAGTGGCACATTTCCCTGCCGCCCGTGGGTCATTCAGTGCTTTGGGTGCCTACCCCGGATCCCGCCTGGAGCTTGTGCTCCTCGTCACGTGTGAGCTCACAGGAGCATCGGTCCAGGGGCAGCCCTGGGTGACAATGGACTGGGGGAAGTGTCCGGCTTTGGGGATGCTTACTGTAGCCCCCCGGGGCTCCCCACCTCTCCAACCGGCCTGAAGACCGTCCCTGCCAGCCCAATTTCTTAAGTCACATGCCCTTCTCCTGAGAGGAGAGAGAGGCCGCTGTGTCCCTCCGGCGTTTGCCGAGGGGCCGTCTCAGGATGGGACTGGCTGTGAGCTCCAGGGCTGGTTGAGCCAGCACCTCCCCGCCGACTCTGGCCTGCTCCGCTCCCACCCTGACAGGTATGTGGCAGCTCAGCTCTCCAAGCCCATGACCAGGAGCCACTTCCTGTCTCAGGGTGCCCAGGAGGCCAAAGGGGAAGGCACAGGCCAGAGTCTGTGAGCTGGGGCGTGTGGTGTGTCAGAGCACATTTTCCCCCGCCTCCCTCCTGTGGGCTGAGGGAGCCAGTGCCTCTGAGGACAGGGACAGGGACAGCCTGTGCCCGCCAGCCAGAACCATCCCACCATGCAGGGGCTCTCGTCCAAGGGGCAGAAGAGACGGGCAGGGGCTGGTCCCTGGTCCTAGCCTGGCAGGCGGGCCCTCTGCTCTGATGCTTCGAGGTGACTGTGGTCTGAGAAGCTGGTCACTCTGGTGCTGTTGCCCCTGCTGCAGCTGCTTAGAGCCCCCTGGAGGCCACCTCGTTGACCCTCCACGTGTCCGTGCCACCTTTGGTCTCACTGGCGTTGGAGGCATCACCTCCCCCTGTATAGTCAGCCAGCCCCTCCCAAAGCACCTTTCAGGAGTTTTGTCTGCCTCCTTCGTCCCTGGAGGGTTAGGGTGTATGTGTCGGAGGAAGGTTGGGGGGCAAGCTGGAGCCGGGGGGTTGTTTCTTTAAGTGATGATGGAGGTAGCAGGCGGGGGGCACTGTAGAAAGGTAGGTGGGGCTTTCTGTCCCAGTTAAGAGGCTCCTTGAGTCAGATCCCCCTAGCTTCTCTCACGCCTCACCCCTAGATTAGGGGTGAGGAGGAGAAGGAGATTAGGGTCCCAGTTGTCAAATGTACCAAGAGGCAGAGCATCCCAGAACGCCTCAGATCCTCTGGTACAGCACCTTCCTTTTACACGTGGGAAACTGAGGCCTGGAGGGATTGAGTGACTTAGCCAAGTCACAGCAGGAAAGAGGTCCCAGCCACTGCCCCTCTAGCCGCTGCCCCCCCACTGCACCATGATAGTGGCATCATGGGCAGGCTGCTCGTTGGCCAGCAAGATACGTTACCCCGGAATGAGGGTCTGGAGCATGGCTTTGAATGGGCACATCTCGTCCTGGTGGCACAGTGGGTAAGCGCTTGGCTGCTAACCAAAATGTCAATGGTTCAAACCTCTGTGGGAGAAAGCTGTGGCAGCCTGCTTCAGTAAAGATTACAGCCTCGGAAACCCTGTGGGGCAGTGCTGCTCTGAATTAACTCGATGACAGCGGGCTTTTCTCTTACCAGGTTGGAGCCTCCCGGCTTCTGAGGACCATGTGTGGTACTTGTCACCAAAGGGGCAGGCCCCGTGTGCCCCGTTTGTCTGAGCTTAGACCGGCTGTGCTGGGCAGGCACAGGGACCCCTCCTCTGGCTGGTACACACAGCAGGAAGCTGGCCCGACCTTGTTCTGGGGCCTCTGTGCCATTCCCTCTCCCAGGTTTCCAGGTGCAAGGGGTCCTGTCACATACTCTTGGAGGAGGGACTAAGGGTGCTGCCTGAAGCCCAGGGGCTCGTGTGCACATTGCAGAGCTGGGTGCTTTCCTCCTTCTGCTCCACTGTCCTCACTCCAGCCCCTTCAGCCTGCTGGCCCTGGGCCTGAGAGGTCTAATGTAGCCCGGCGGAGACGCTCCTCAGAGGAGGGCCGGAGGACAGGGTTCTCACTGTGAGCTCCGTTGCCTGGAGGAACGCCAGAGGGCAGGTGCGTTCTTACTGTGAGCTCCCTCGCCTGGAGGAGGGCCAGAGGGCAGGGTTCTCACTGTGAGCCCCCATGCCCAGAGGCCCCAGGAGAGGCAGAGGGCGCCCCCACCCCGTGAGCACAATGGAGAGTGGGTCAGGATGGGGGCAGGGTCTCCCAGGAGGGAAGAGGAAGGCTAGGCTGAGGCGGAGTTTGCTGGGCGGCAAAGGTAGGTTTGTGGGTCAGAGGCTTTGGCTAGAAAGCCAGCCTTCCTCCGGAAGTTCTGAAGCTGGGACACTGGGGCTCTGGGAAGAGTCAGTCCACCTCCGTGACAGGCCGTGGGAGGCATCATGGCCTTGAATCCAGGGCCTTTCGAGGGCCGACTGCCTGTCCTGAACTAGCCAGATGGGAGGCCCACTGCGCGTGCTCGGGGGTCTGACGCAGGGCTGTGTGTCGGATCCGTCACCTCTGAGCCGCAGACAGCTACTCTGCCCCCTTTGCTCTCCACTGGTTTCTTGCAGCATCGGGCGTGGGTCCCTGGGGACGTGGGGTGCTGAAGGGGTCCAGTCCCTGTCCTGCTCCCGCTCTGGGGGGAGGCGCATTCCAGCAGGCCCCCAGGCACTCTTCCCTGCCGGTTATTTACAGCAAGGCCAAGGGAGTCCCTGCCCCCTGGCTGCCTAATATAACCCGAGTCAGGTGACTGAGTGGCATGTGTCCTGAAGGAGCCCCGGGGAAATGCAGGCCTTGGTCTAGCCACCCACCCTCATTCCCTGGGCCTACAGGTTTAGAGGGAGGAAGGCAGGGGTAGCCCAGTCAGGCTACTGACGATTCTGTATTTTTCTAGTCTCTGTAGCTCAGGATTACCACACTCCTTCCTCCAGAACCATTCTTCTGCCTGTAAGCCAGGGAAGCCTTGGTAGTGCCTGGCTCGGAGCTTCATAGGCTCAGAGGTTCCCGAGAGGCAGCCCCAGGCCCCAGGAAGGGAGAGTGGCTCTCAGGCCCCCCTGCAGCCTGGGCTCCCTGCGCAGTCCTTCCAGAGCCTCTAAGGGTGCCCCCTGGGCTGAGATGGAAGCAGAGGAGACTGGGGAGCAGAGCAGAGAGGGAGCTGGCAGAGCCAAGGGGCTGGAGACATTCCCTGGTGTGGCATCTCCCGGCACAGAGAGCCTAGCGGTAGAGCAGACGGGCATCCTGCAGACCAGACAGCTGCCTGGTGCTGGGCTTCCCTTTATCTCCTGCTCGCAGAGCCAGCGCTTCTCCTCCAGGCTCCCAGCGAAGAGAGAGCAGACGTGCTGCTCTGATAAGTGCTCAGGGCCCCAGAGGGCTGCTTGGTTTGGTTCCACCGGTATTTTGTTGTGGGTTTTGGCTACCTGTGCCCTGTGATCCGTTATTTTGCTGGAGGAAGAGCTAGAATGAGGCTAACTGACAGTTGTGGGAGACTCGTGGGCCCAGAGGCCTGACAGCAGGCACCGATGCCCGCTGTGCGCCATGCTGAGTGCTTGACGACCTCGCCCTGCCATGAGATGGGGAGTCACTGCTTGGCTCCTCACCCAGCCTGTAGCTTTCCAGGGTTGGGAGCCCTTCCCTGCGGCTGCTAGGCATCCCCTTCTGTCCTCCCAGCTCAGGGAACGTGTTTAGGAGACCCCAGAGCAGACCTCTCTCCTGTGGCATGCCGGGGCAGCTTACAGACACACACCGGCAGGTGTCGTGGCAGCTCCCACTGTCGCCCCCCTTGCCTGACCTGCCCGCCGCCTCACATCAGCCCAGCTTCTGTCCTCTGTTGGCCATGTGGTTCCCATTGCTGTCAGAGTTTCTTCTCCCAGCCACCAGCCCAGGCCAAACCCCACGGCCTCTGCCAAGCCAAGAACACTTGGACTGATCCTTGGTTTTCCCTGGGAGGTTGTTTTCCTTTCTTATTAGATACCAGCTTGTTTGCTCTGGGGAGAACAGCTGGGGGGTGTGGCAGAGGGGGTGCTGACCCCAGCGTGAGGACAGGGAAGAGGCGGTGGCGGCAGCGGTGCTCCAGGGCCTGGCCCACGGGGGCTGCTCGCGGTGCTGCAGGAGGGCGGCAGCAGAGCCCAGGCACTGGGGCGGGTGCCTCCCCCAGCCTCACTTCCACTGTCACCTTCCCTCACCCGACCCTGTGGTTTAGAGATAGACCCTCCCATTCCTGGGGCAGGATTTGGGGCTCACTGCCAGGCCAGCAGAGAGATGTTAGGACTCAGGGGTTCTAAGTGGCAGAGCCTGAGCTGAGAGCAGCCTGGCAGGAGTGGCTGAGCCCCACCTCCGTGCCTGGGCTGCCCTGGCCCTGGACACGGTTGGCCAGAGCCGCCTCAGGCCCTGTGCATCCTGGGGGGGTGCGAGCTGGCTGGGCAAACCCTCCTGAGAGCCTCAGTGGGGAGAACAGCAGACATGGGGAGAGCCCGTCTCGTCTGCCTCAGTCCTGGGGAATGGCAGCTCAGTGCACAAGCCGTGGCTAGGCCGGGACAACAAGGCCTGCTCTTAAGCCCCCTGAATGGAGAAGGCTTAGCTGAACCTGCAGAGTAAGCGGGCCCTTTGTGCCCGGCCTGGCGCAGGCAGAGAGGGAGCCCCTCTGAGTGGGGTGTCCCTCCCGACTGAGAAGCGTGCTCACCTTGAACAGGAGGCTTCGTGGCTCCCTACCCAGAGACCCGAGCCAGGTGTGCCCGCAGGCGCCGTCTCATGCTCACGCAGGTGCTGGCCCGTCACCCCACCCAGCACCACTCACCTGGAGCCCAGGTGTTGGGGTGGGGGTCCTGGCCCAGGAGCACCCCGTGCACCAAGCCGCTGCGTGCCTCCTTGGCTCCTGGCTGTCACCGCCTCGGCTCCTGGCTGTCGCCCCTTCCTCCTCGTACTTCCACCTCTTACTTCCTCTGTGAACACCTCTTTCCTGACCCGCTATTGCGCCTCTCAGCACCTCCCCTCACACAGAGCCTTGCCGCTGACAGCCAGCTGCTGTCCCTGCCTCAGCTTTTTGTCGTTGGTCGTCCTGGAGATCCAAGTGTCAGATTGCACGGGCTTTGCCCAGGGCCAAGCCAGCGCAGGCTGCTCCCCAGCATGGGCGGGTGGTGACTCTGCTGCCTGAAGGGCCTCTGCTGGCCTCTTCCGACGACGGGCTCTTCTCCGTCCCTTCTCCCCTCCCACTCCCCGCCCTCTGCCCGCCCACCTACTGCTTGCCCCTGTGTGGTGAGCGCCAGGGGCTGGGCCTGGGCTGGGCGGGCTGGGCGCTGACGGAAGGAGAGACCTTCTTCCTAGGCAGAGAGGACCCCAGGGACACTCTACCTGAGGGTGTGGAGGGAGGGAGGAAGGGAAGGAGGGAAGCCAAGCAGCGGCCCCAGCTGTTGCCCCCTAGCCCCCACGGAGGTCTCTCTGCCAGGCCTCTGGCCCATGTCCCACGACCACCCCACCCTGTCCCTTAGGCCACTCCCTGCTGGGACCTCCCTCTGGCCTCTCCTGGGAAGGAAAATAAACAGTGGAAGAGCTGCCGGACCACCCTGGTTGAGCCCCCAGGGAGGCCCTTCTGCCCTCTTGGCATCGAAAGGCATCTCAGGGAAGGAGGCCTGCCCCCTTTGCCTGGCCTGCTGGCCCAGGGAGGGGCTTCCCGTTCCTCAGGGCCCTGGGAGAGGAGGAGGGAAACCGTGGGGCTCTCTGTGCCAAAGCACAGTGTGCAGGGCTCAGCGTCTGTGGGCCGCCTCCCGTACTCGGCCTGTCCTCAGGGAGGGGCCCAGTGGCAGGGGCCACCCAGCAGGCCAGGCGAGGCCACGCCCGGAGTAGGGAGAGGACTGACCCCAGCCCGCTGTCAATGGAGCCCTTTGAATCTGAGTTAAAACCCCAGTGAGTCAGGGCCAGATGGGGTGGGTGGCGGGGGGAGGCAGCCGGCCTGTACCCCCCACCCCAGGATGCCAGAGCCTCTTGGAGCAGGACAGGCAGCCACTGTGCAGAAGACCCACCTAGGTGGGGGGGCTTGGAGGGTGCAGACTGGGTCCCTGCACCCCTGCACCCACAGAATCGACAGCAGAGACCCTGAGCCGAGCCCCGTGGGAAGAGCGCCCTCTGATGGCTGTGGCCGCCACTGCTGTCTGAAGCCCTAGTCTGGCCTCAGAGCTGCCTTCTCCACTTGGCTAAATAAAGTGAACCAAACCTCCCCCCCCCCAGGGGTGTTAACAGTCAGCTTTTGTCCCTGGAGCCTGCCTGTGCAGTCTTGGTCCCAAAGTGCTGCCTGTGGTCCCTGGCAGGCTCACTTTGAGAGGTTCAGTCAGAGCCTTTGACACCAACTATTCTTGTCCCTGGGTTGTGGCACCCGGTGGCCTTGTCTCTGCTCCGGCATCTCCTCTCGGACCCCCCACCCCATGCTGCATTCTGGACAGCAGAAGTGGCTACTGTCAGAGTCCTGGTAAAGCCAGTGTGCCCTTCTGGGCCTCTCACCTGTCCCAGGATTGACTGCTGCCTCTAGCCTGGGGAATCATAGGAGAGGCAGAGCCTCAGGGGGCTGCTTCCTACTCCCAGCTGTCACCCCACGAGGGCTGTGACAGGGTGGGGCAGTAGAAGGTGAGATGGGGAGACTCTGGCCAGGCCCTCACCAGGGGCCAGCTGTCAGGACCACCTGTGTCCCTGTGTGCACAGCCTGGTGGCCCAGAGCCCCAGCTCTCCAGGGTGCCACCACCCAAGGACAGGGGAGCCCCCTGGGCCAGAGGGGCAACCTCTGGAGAAGCAGTTCACAGTGGGGGTCCACGTGGCTCCTCTGGACGTCCCACATGGTACACAACCTCACGGTGGCCGCGTGAGATGGCCAGAATCAAAGCTGCCATGGGAGGTGAGGCAGCTGAGGTGCTGGCGAGGTGCCTGACCAGGGGACGCTTGTTGGAGTGGAGGTGTGGGGTTAGTGAACACCACTGGCCTGGGCCCCTCACCCCTCACCTCTGCTCTGCCGCCACCCCAGGTGCCGCCACGCTGCCATTGCCAAGTACTTCGGGGATGCACCCCCCGCCTGCACCAGAGGCTGTGACCACTGCCAGAACCCTGCGGCCGTGCGGAGGCAGCTGGACGCTGTGGAGCGCAGCAGCAGCTGGAGCAGGACCTGCGTTGGACCCCCCCGGGGGAATGGCTTTGACCCTGAGCTGTACGAGGGAGGCCGCAGGGGCTACGGGGGCTTTAGCAGGTGAGGGGCATGAATCCGCGGCCCAGCCCACTGGGATGAGCCTGTTCTCCCCCTGGTGCCAAGGGCAGACCAGAGGTGACCTAATGCTGTCGTCCCCCCCGGCTTCCTGGGCTGCGTTGGGGCCTGGACCTTGGTGTGGCTCTGAGCACCTCAGGGCAGGCTGTGAGAGAGCTGCTGGGGACGGCAGGGACCCCGTCACCTGACAGAGGCTGGTTGAGGGGGACAGAGAACAGGCTCTGGGCAGCTCACGCCCAGCCTGCCCCCAGGTACGATGAAGGCTCCGGAGGCAGCGGGGACGAGGGCCGAGACGAGGCCCACAAGCGGGAGTGGAGTCTTCTCTATCAGAAGCAGATGCAGCTGCGCAAGGTGAAGGGACAGGGCTGGGGTGGGTGGTTGGCCTGTGTGGAGCACTGAGCTGGCCATAGGAGGGGCGCCTGCAGATAGTGGGGTCCCAGGTGACCCCTGCTGCCCACACGCTCAGCCCCGTCCCTAGCCTGGCCTGGGAGCTGTCCTACGGGGTCCTCAAGGATCCGTCATGACTTTTCCAGGGTAAAGACCCCAAGATAGAAGAATTCGTACCCCCTGGTGAGTGCAGGGATGCCCCAGGGCTTGTTGGGGGTGGGGTGAGAGTGAGGGGTGGGTGGATGGAGCCCACCTCGCAGAAGGTAGCACCCACCCATTCTCTCCCCAGATGATAACTGTCCCCTGAAAGAGGCTTCTAGCAGGAAGATCCCCAAGCTCACTGTGAAGGTACGAGGTGGGCAGCTCCTCACCGCCCCCAGGATGCTCCCCCAGCCCCGAGGCTCGTGTGATCCACTCCCTTTCCCCTGCAGGCCCGTGAGCACTGCCTGCGGCTCTTGCAGGAGGCACTGAGCAGTAACCACCAGGCTGCAGGCGCCACTGAGGGGTGAGTGGCCCAGATGGCGGGAGCTGGGGACGCGGCCAGGCACCCCGGGCTGAGGAGGTCTCCCCAAGAGCTCTTAGTTGTTTGGAGACCTCCGGATCCCCACCTCAGAGCTCTCCCCTGGTGTGTTTGGCCATCAGCAGTTTAAATCCACCAGGTGCTTCTTGGACACCCTATGGGGCAGTTCTGCTCTGTCCTATAAGGTCACTATGAGTCAGAATCCACTCGATGGCAATGAGCTTTTTATCCCCAGATTATGACCCATCCTACTCCCAGGGGATGTGAGTCCTCACAGCCCCACTAGGGGGCAGGCTTGGCCCAACCTAGCAGCAAGCAGTGGCTGCTGAAGACAAGCCAGAGGGTGTCACAGAGTCAGGTGGGAGTCCCTGGGCCCAAGGCAACTCCGACCAGGCCCTGATGATGCCCCCAGGGAGAATCCAGCAGGAGCTGTACAGGGGGAGAGCTCAGGCTTGGCTGACCTCTGGCTCACTCCCCACAGAGCTGACCTCCAGGCCAAGGCCGTGGAGCTGGAACACGAGACGTTCCGGAATGCTAAGGTGGCCAACCTGTACAAGGCCAGCGTGCTGAGGAAGGTGGGCCCGGACAGGAGTGGGCAGGCAGGGCAGGCATGCTCGCCAGGTGCTCTCCCCAGGGCTCAGGCAGTCCTCAGCCCCCTAGGAGGCCGCCTATGGGGCCTGAGCCTGACTTCCCTCCTTTGCCAGCTGGAGAGTTCTGTCCAACCCCGTGACGACCAGAGTTTGTCCAGTGTCCAGTTGCCTGGAGCCATTGACCACAGAAACCTGCTCAGGGGAGGCCTGGGTGGGGGCTTTGGGGAGGAGCTAGTGGCCGCCCACATCTTATCTGTCTCTGACCCAGGTGGCTGAGATCCACAAAGCCTCCAAGGACGAGCAGCTCTACTCCAGTGTGGTTGGTGGGGCCAAGAGCTGTGGCACCCAGGCTGGACCCCCAGGGCCCAGTGAACACGACACCCTGCCGGCCTCCCAGGTGTACTCGGTGCGTGGGAACCTGGGTCCCCTCTGTGCTCAGGGAGGGCCCAGCCTCTGCCCGCTCCTGGCCTCTTAGCCTAGGCCCTGGGGTGCCCAGGGAGACCCTCTAGTGTCCCTGCTCTGCCGGCTGCACCTTCACAGTCTTGTGTCCTCTCTTCCTGATGCTTAAGTGGTGGCCTGCCCTCCTTACCCCTCCCACACCCCAAGATCCTGGCCCAGTGGGGCCATGGCAGGACCAGCCAGTGAGTGGGTCCTGTGAAGCCTGGCGGTTGATCCCTCTCTCCTCCTCGCAGTTCAAAGCCAAGCGAGTGGGAGCTGGCTTCCCCAAAGCCTCCCGCCTGTTCCAGACGGCCACTGAGCTGATGGAGAGGACGCGGGCCGAGGCACCAGTTCCCCAGCCCGTTCCAGGAGGCCAGCAGGAGCCCCCCGGGCAGCCACACGGCCTCCAGGATGAGGACAGGACTGAGCCCTTCCCTGACCCCAGAGGAGCAGGCCCTGGAGTGGGTGCCGAGAGTGGGGAGCCCTTGCCCAAGAAGAAGGCCAAAGACCCCTCCAGGGACAGCCCCCCGGCCAAGGCCCGGGCCAAGAGGAAGCAGCAGCTCCTTGCCGAAGCGGCCCACAAGGATTCTCAGAGCATCACCCGCTTCTGCCAGAGGGTGGAGAGCCTGTCAGGCCCCCCACCAGCCCCAGGGCAGTGCGCAGGGGAGGACAATGGAGCCCCGGGGCATCAGGCCACCCCTCTGCACACGGAGGAGCCCACCACAGGGGGACTGAGGTGAGGGCGGTGGGTGCCCTGGGACCTTTGGGAGAACCACCTTGGGTGCCTGGGTCCTCCAGAGCTCAGGGCTCATTCCCAGGATGGCCTGCGGGCTGGCTGGGATGCAGGAGCACCTGGGACCCTGATGCCTGCTCTTCCCCTGTCAGTGCCCACCCATGTGGTGACCAGGGACCCCCGGGAACCCAGCCCACGCCCCCACGGGAGACCCAGAAGGGCAAGCGGCCCAGACCCCAGCAGGTATGTCAGGTCCAGGCCCCGCAGGACGGGAGGCAGCGGCATGGACGAGGCTATGCTTCTGTAGGCTGTGGGTTGAGGACAGTCACATACGCATCCCGGTGGCAGGCAGTTGAGGGACAGGCTAGAGGGAGCCCGTGGGTACAGAGGACCAGTCTTCCAGAAGGAGAGGAGGGGCTGATGAAAGGGAGCTCAGGAGTGACTCCACCGTGGCCCTGCCCAGGAGCACCCAGAGACCCCGGCTCAGAAGAGGCCTTGCCCCTCAGCCAAGCCCTGCGTCTCCACTGAGGCCACAGGCGGTGTCTCAGCCAGGGACCAGGACACCTTGCTCTCCACCGCCCGAGGCCCCTGCCAGCCCCCGGCCACCAGCGTCTCCCTGAAGGAGGCTGCGAGTGTTGTGGTCAAGGGTCTCACCCCGTTCTACAAGCAGGGCAAGTTTGCATCCAAGGTAGGGGGCATGGGGGTATTGCTCCACCCCCTGGCCTGGGACACCTGGCAGCAGGATGGGAGGCAGGGCCGGGCAGGAGTGGGAGCACTGGGTCAGCTCCAGCCATCCCTGGGAGCCTGCCTCGCCTTTGGGTGCTGCCGTGGCCGCTCCAGGGGCAGGGCAGGGTCCGGTTCTCTCGGCATCTCCTCACCCTCTGCCACCCAGGAGCTGTTCAAAGGCTTTGCCCGTCACCTCTCACACCTGCTGACTCAGGAGGCCTCCCCTGGAGGGAGCGGTAAGTACCCAAGTGCCTGGATCCGGCAGGAGGCACGGGGGGGTGGGGGAGCTCTGCAGGGAGGGGACTGGCCCTCACACACACACCCCAATCCAGTGACAGAAGAGGCCCAGAACCTCATCAGGCAGTTCTTCCACGGCCGGACCCGGTGTGAGAGTGACGCCGACTGGCAGGGCCTGTGTGGCCCTCGACGATGACTGACCGTCACCCGGGGCCAGCACACCTTCCTCAGACTCTGCCTTGGGGCCAGCCTCGGCCCCTCAGGGAGGGGAAGGTGGGCAGGCCTGGGGGCGCCACCTTTTCTAAGGGTCCTTCCAGCCACACCTTGCCTTGGGGATGGCTCCAGGCGCCCCCCAAACCAGGGTCTGGGCCAGGGGCCAGCCCGCCTTTCTCTCTGCCTGTGAAGCCTGGGGTCCTCCCTCTCTCCCAGAGCCTCCTGCTTCACCTGTCCCTCAGGGCTGGTTCTCCGGGTCGGGGCCCCAGGTGACTGCCGCCAGGGCAAGAGGAAGGAGGAGGAGCTGCCGCCTCTCTTGCACTTACGTTTTCAGCCGGGGGTGAGGTGCACCTGCCCAAGGTATCGGGGCCTGTTCTGGAGAAGCCCCTGCTGGTCTCAGCCCCCCCTTCTGCCCACTGCCCCCTCGAGACACCTGCCTGCAGCCTGGATCCAGGTGCAGGGCCCACGAGGGGCGGGCAGCCAGGAAGGCCCAGCGGACTGAGGTGTTCGAGACAGGAGTAAAGTTCCATGTGTACTGACACACGCACACACATCCTTTCTCTCAGGAGTTTTATTTTCTCAGCAGCACTGTTCCCAGGCCTGGGCTCTTGCTGATGCTGAGCTGGGGTGGGGGGTCGGGGGTGGTCTGGGCTGGGTGGGCATGTCCCCCAGACTGGGCAGCACCAAATGCCCAAGCCGAGATCCTGCAGCCCACCCAAGGCCAGCCCACCCTGGAGGGAGTCTGGCTGCTGTCTCTCCCAGCCAATGCCCCCACAGCAGCCCCTGCCTCGGGCTGCCACATGGACCGGCTGGGCTGCGGCAGGTTCCAGAACAGAGGCACGCGGAGGGGTCCAAACCAGCATGGCCCAGTAACGCCAGGGGAGAGTGTCCGGACGAGAGCCAGGCCAGGGTGGGGCTGCTCTAGTAGCTGGCACTGGTGCTGCTGTCCAGCAGGAACGCGATGGTGTGCTGCAGCTCCTGGGCCTGCAGGCAGAGGGCTCACCATGGGCGCCCACCAGCCCCCCGCCTCTGCCCCGTCTCTCCCACCACCCAGAGCAGGCAGGGCCCCTCACCTGCTGCAGCTCGAACCAGATGGTGCGGGGGCTGTAGGCCGAGCCGAAGTTGAGCTCCAGGCCTGGGGCCCCACCTTCCTCTCGGGGGCTCAGCAGGTGGACCCGGTGCATTTCACTCAGGGGGATGGAGCAGCACAGTTTCTGTGGGTGGGCAGGGAGAGGTCACCGAGAGGCCTGGGAGGGGGACGGGCCCACAGGGGCCCAGGCCAGGGCCGGGGCAGAGCCGTGCTACCTGGGAGCTGGAGTCCATGAGGACGAGGTGCTGGCGGTTGAGGCCCAGGAGGCCGGGCCTGGGCAGGGCCAGCTGGCTCACACGCAGCACCACGTACACGGTGTAGCCAAAGAGAGGCAGCTGGCTGATGGCCTCTGGAGGTGAGAGGGCAGGGGTTCTGGCCTCGGGGCCCTGGGGCTTGGCAAGAACCTGCCCTCCTTGCCCCGCAGGTGTATGAGGGTGCCTCTGCAGCCTTCCACCCTCACCTGTCCCTCCGGGGCTTGTGGCCACCGCTCCCCGCCTCCACCCCAGACCCACCAATGAAGCTGATCTGGGCATCCTGCTGGCTGTGGCACTGCAGCTGCCTCAGCTCCTGGTCCATCAGGCCTTTTATGGTGGCCACGTTCAGCTGCTGTTGTAGCTGTATCGGCACATACAGTAGCAGGTCCTGCCTAGGACACAGGCTGGCTCAGTTTGGCCCATGACCACTGACCACCTGGTGCAGGGCTGGACGTACAGCAGGTGCTAAATAAATGAGCAGGTGGCTTCTGTGGGTAAGGCTAGGGTTCCACACGCAGGAATGTGTCCTGCCCTGCCCTCGAGGAGTGTGGAGCAGGTGGGGAGGACAGGCACGTGGCCTCAGAGGAGGGGGTGGGGGTGCTGAGGTGGGCGTCAGCCCGGGGGGGGCACGAGGAGGGCTGCCGGCTCCAGGGGCAGGTGCACACTCACTCTGAGGGTGGGTCCTTGGTGTCCTTGCTGAGGTGCTGCAGGGCTGCCAGGTGGGCGAGCTGGGCGTCTGCCTGGGCGCTCACCAGCAGCTTCCCCTGGAGGTAGTCCCGCAGCACCTGAGGAGAAGCAGTGAGGGGACCACGTTCGTGAAAGCGAGGCTCGGAGGGCAGTAGGCGGGGGCCCGGCCCAGCAGCTGCCCAGCATCCAGAGGCAGGTGGCTGACCTGGCTGTAATGTATGCTGGTGTAGGTGGGATGGTCGAAGTGTAGCGGGTACTCCCAGCCCAGGCGCCGGCTGTGCAGGCTCACATCCTGGTCCACCATCACGCTGTTGAGGTACTCGAAGGGCCAAAGGGGCCGCACCAGGTTGCCTGCCACCGGGGCCCACAGTCCACAGCCTGCCCTGCCACCTCAGAGCCAGCGCTGGGCCTCTGCCCTGCCGCCGGCCCCACTGCCTTGCCCAGTGCTGCCCACCGCCCCAGTCGCCGCCCGCCCAGTGCTGCCCACCGCCCCAGTCGCCGCCTGCCTTGCTGCCTTGCCCAGTGCTGCCCACCGCCCCAGTCGCCGCCCGCCCAGTGCTGCCCACCGCCCCAGTCACCGCCTGCCTTGCTGCCTTATCCGTTGCTGCCCACCACCCCAACTGCTGCCTGCCCTGCTGCCTTATCTGCTGCTGCCCACTGTCCCAAGTCACCACCTGCCCTGCCGCCTGCCCAGTTGCCCACCGCGCCAGTCACTGCAGGCACTGCTGCCTGGGCCACTGCTGCCCATCGCCCCAACTGCCACCTGCCCTGCTGCCATGTTCAGTGCTGACCACCGCCCCAACTGCCGCCTACCCTCCTGCCCAGCCCCATCCCACCCCAGCCTGCTCCACCACGAGCCACACACAGCCATCATGTGTGGCCTGTCCTGCCACCCCCAGAGTGGGCAGAAGTGGGTGCAGGGCCCAGCAGGTCAGGGCACCTCCTTCACCCACCCGGCCACCCTCCTCCAGGTACAGTGGCTCACCTTCCCCTTTAATGAGGAAGAGGGCGAATTCCTTCACTTCTTCTGGGTCCGTGATGTCCATGTGCCTGCACAGCTCCTCCAGCACTTCTGTGGCCACCTGGCGCATGGACAGGTCATGATGGGGGTGGGGCTCCCCTGCCTTCCCCCTGCCCTTCCTGGGTGCCCAGTGCTCACTGTGAACGTCTGGATGTTGGTCCTGTAGTCCACGGCCCCCGGGAGGTGAATCAGAAGCTTGCGGGCCATGTGGCCTTTCTGCTGAGGCAGGGCTCGGGTCAGCGTCTACCAGCAGAAGGGACCCAACGCTCTCCCAGGAGATCCCAGAAGCCCCTCCGCCTGCACCCCCAGTACCAAGAAGGCTTTCAATTCACCCGGCAGGGGCAGCTGTTTGCGCCCCCCATACTTGACTGCGTGCTGGAGGTGCTCTTGGCTGCTGCGGGCCAGCTCTGCAGAGGGGAGCCAGGTAGGGGTCAGAGCACCCCAAAGCCCCCCACCAGCCGAGCACCCACCTTCCTGCCACCCCACCCACAGGTACCTTGGCTCTGGCCTGCATCCTGGAGGAACTTGGTCACGTAGGGCATCAGGGTGGTGGATGGCAGGAAGCAGCCCGTAAGCAAGCTAAGGAATTTCCAGCCTTGAGCGCAGCATTCCCTGCGGGCAGACGGCCGGGGCATCAGGCTGTGAGACCTAGCACCCTGCTCCCCCAGAGGCCCTGAGCCACCCCGGCAGACACCCCCACTCACGGTCGGGGGTGTTCCGTAACCTGCTTGATGACCTGGCAGTAAATCTCGTCCCTGAGGTTCTCCTCCTGGCAGAGCTGTGGGGACAGGAAGGGCGGGGGGGCAGGGGAAGGCGTCAGGGCTGCAGAGTTGTGGTGCAGTGTGGGGAGGAAAGGAAGGGATCCAAAGTCGGGGAGACTAGCTGGGGTGGTGACACAGCTGAGGTGACACACCAGTGGTCTTCTCTCAGCAGCACCTGCACAGCAGGTAACTTTCACCCTAAATCTCTCTCTTCACTTGGCTCCTGGGATTTGCTTCCCCCTGGACCTCCTACAAGGAGCCCTGGTGGTGCAGTGCTTAAAGCACTCAGCTGCCAACCAAAAGATCAGCAGTTCGAACTGAACCAAGGAGAAAGATGTGGCAGTCTGTTCCCGTAGAAACCTTAGAAAGCCTATGGGGCAGGTCTCTCTGTCCTCTAGGGTTGCTATGAGTCGGAATCGACTCGGTGGTGGATTAGCCTTTGGCAGTGGGTTTTTGGTTGGCCTCCCTACCCCTCGTCTGTCCTGTCATCTCTGCCAGCTCCACCTTATCTCCTGACCCTCCAAGCTCTGGCGTGCCCTTGGACTTCTCTGTCCACTCATACTCTCATCTGCAGATGACTCCTGGGGCCTGCTCCAGCCACTTCTGCCCTGGACTTCAGGCCCCTCCACTTGGTCTGGATTTCAGACTTAACACGTCCCAGTCAGACTCCGCCACCACCCAGATTTTTTCCTATTGAAGAAGGTGATGACTCGGGCCAACATCTTGCAGTTGGCCTTGATGCCCCTACGCCTGCCACTTCTCCCCTCCGCCGCTGCCTATTGGCCCAGGCCAGCCACGTCTCTCATCTGGGACCACACCCACATAATCTCAACAATAGCCACAGCAGTCCCGAAAACCTAAAAGCCAAACCTCTCTGCGGAGCGCTTCAGTGCTTTCTCAAGTCTGCAAGAATCAAAGTCCTTACGACAGCCTCGAGGGCTGCCCCACGATCCCCTCCCCGTCCCCGCCACACAGATGCTCTGCCTGATGGCCACATAGCTCCCTCCCTCCCTCGCCTCCGCTCTCTGCTCCAGTGTCACCTGATCACGAAGCCCAGAGAGCTTAGCTAACTTGTCCAAGGTCACACAGGAGCTAAGATTCGAATGCTCTGTAAAACCACAGCCCCTCCCCCTGCTTTATTATTACAGTGCAGTAAATCCAATAAATAATGTTAGTTGTGACCTCTCTGCTGGGCACACGACAGCCCCTGTTGCTGACTGTTCCTCCCACCGGAGTGACAGCTCTGCGAGAACAGGGACTGGGCCAGCTTTGTTCACCACCGTGCCCCAGCGTGCAGCAGGCGCTCAGTAAGTGCTTGTGGATGATGTGCGTGGATAGTGATCGAGGGGAGGGCATCCCTCAGCCCAGGCAGGAGGATGGGAGCAGCTCTCAGCTGGCGGCCCCCGGCTCCCGCACACAGCCTGCTCACCTTCAACAGCTCATAAAGCAGCACAATCTCATCCTTGCCCCGTGGCTTGGACTGGTCCCCCATGAACTGCATCAGAGCTGCCGGCAGCAGAAGTACAAGGGGTTGGCCACTGCCCAGCACCCACTCTTGCTGCCAATACTCTCAAAATGCACATGAGCTAGGTAGGGCACCTGGCACCAGCTTCACCCCCAGGGAGCTGAGGCTCAGGGAGAAAGGGGCACCCAAGGCCACACAGGACGCATAGTGTTGCCTGGAGCCACCTGCTGCCTTCCGGTCCCAGACTCCACCACAGCCCTTGAACAGAAGTGGTTGAGGGCTGGGGGCACAGGAACCACCCAGAGAGCTTCCCTGAGTAAGCAGAGCCTGGCAGGGCTGAAGGAGAGAAGGGGCCACGGGTCCCAGGGTCCCACACAGACCACCCAGCCCCAGACGTCAGGGCCCAGGGTGCCACTCACCTCGGAAGCTTTCCACGGCCTCCTTGTTCTTGTCCTCATCGCTGAAACTGATGAGCGATTCCTGGATGGGTGCCTGCAGCCGTAGAGGTGGGCCATGGGGCTGGGGTCCACGTGGCGCCAAGGGCGGCCCCGGGCCAGCTCCTAGCCGCCGCTCCCCCTCACCTTGGTGTACTGCACCAGGCTGGCGGTGGCCTTTCCCTTGACACTTCCACCTGTTGCATCCAGCCTGTGGGGACGGAGGGATGACAGTTCTGCTCGCCCGGCCCACCCACCCTCGGTCTGGGGTAGGAGCAGTAGCCGGGTGGCTCCGAGCAGGAAGGCCGACCTCCGAGGATGGAGGACAGCATGGGGATGGGGGCTGGGCACTCACGAGGTATGGGACTTCCGGAAGAAGCGCAGGGCGAATTCCAGCATGGTGTAGTTATGGGTGTCGGTGGACAGAGAGATGTAGCCTGCCGAGGAGGGCTGACTGGTGGTCTCTGAGTCTTTGCTGGGAGCCTGGTTCCAGGGCTGGGCAGGACACTGGGAGCACAGGAGACCTGCTGCCACCCGTGTGCCCCCGGGTCTGTCCCAGAGGCCCTGCCCGCCCCCACCCCAGCCAGACCCGAGCGGAGCAGGCGAGTGAGCAAACACAGGGACCAGGACGGTCAGAGCTGTTTATTGTGCAGCGTCTTCCATGGTGGCAGTGGATAAGCGCCCCGTGGGACAAGAGGGAGACAGCAGCCCCTGCCTGCAGAGGGCTTACAGTCATGCCGGGGAGACAGGCAAGAGACACTGCGAGGGTAACGGCAGCCTCAGACCAAGCACCGTCCACCAGGGGCTCCTGGGAGCCCAGTGGGCCTCGCAGCAGACAGTCGCACCGTCCTTCCTCGACTCCCAGCTAGGCCTCCACCGACAGCCTCACCTCTGGGGCCTTGGCCCCCGGAACCAGCCCTGGCTCCCCGCGCTGCAGCACGCTCCTGCGCCGGCTGCTCTGCTGCTCCGTGGAGAAGTCAGGGGCGGCTGCCAGCTGCACCATGTCGGCAGGGAAGAGTCCGGAGCGGCCCCCGCTGGAGCCAAACTGCCAGCCTAGAAGGTAGCCACGGGGGGCACCTCAGCCACCCTCTGCCCACCGGGCGAGGGGCCCTCCCTGGCCAGCCCTCTGCCTGCCCCAGGGATACCTGGCTCCAGAGTGGCCATAGGCAACAGCTTGATGAGGTCGCCACGGTGGAAGCTGAGGAGGCTGCTGTCATCGGTGATGTAGCTTCGCAGAGCAATGACGTAGCCAGAGTCCTGGTGGGCAGGTGAGTGAGGGGTTGGGGGGGACGGAGGCAGCTGTGACTCCCTGTCCTGCTGACCCGTTGACTGGCTTCACCCTCTGCCCAGCACCAGAGTTCTAGGGAGTCAGCCTAGACCCCAGCCCCACCCCGGCGGCATGAAGAAGCCTAGATGACACCCCCAGCCAGCCGTGACATCAGGGTGGAGGCCCCGGCCCGCACATGCCTTCTTTCGCTCATTCAGGTACAGCTCGACCATGGCCTTGATGGTGCCTGCCCGGGCCGTGTGCAGCGCTAGCTGCTCCCCCTTCAGTGACAGCTCCAGGGTGGAGGCACCTCGGCACTCCACGCCCAGCACCTCGGCAAAGCTGCGCACAAGGCCTGGCGTGAGTTGGGGGCCACCTCACCACCACCTCGTCCCTCCCAGCCCTGGCCCAGCTCACCTGTATGAGCAGAGGGTCTTTAGCTGGTCAGGGTGGAAGCTGGAGCCTGGGGCCACCTTGAGCAGTCTCAGCCCCCGGTGGGACACACCCAGCAGTTGCACGTCGCTGCCACTCTCGCCCTGCGGGGAGGCAGGGTGGTGGCGGCAGGCTCTTGGGTCCCCCGCACCGAGGAAGGTGTCCTGGAGCTGCCCTCCCCTGGGAGCCCCTGCCCTCGCCCCAGCTCTTATCCTGCTGCAGGAGGCTGTGCCTCTGATCCCCACCCCCACCCCATCGACCCTGGCGTTCCTGACCGAGACTGGGAAGATACGGGAGAAGTAATTGGTCCAGTTGTCCCGGGCGGCCACGACGATGCGCTTTTTGACACTGTCTTCAGCGGAGGCGATGGAGTCCAGGCCCACCTCCAAGTCTCCTGAGGGCGGGAATGGCCCCAGCTGTCCTCAGGCTCCCCTTTAACCCCTCCCCCCTGCCTGTGCTCACACAGAGAGACTCCAGGGGTGGCTCCCACCACCCTCAGGGCAGGCCCAGCCCAGCACTCAGCCCCAACCCCAGGGCCCCCTACCCAGCAGGTCCTTCATTCTGCGCCGCTCATCCTGGGAGATCCGGATGCAGGACTCAGCGAAGGTGTCCCGCAGGATCTGGGCAGAGCCAGGCAGTCAGCACAGGTCCTGGGGGCAGCCACAGACGGGCGGGGCCGAGGGAAGGCCGGAGCGCCCCCAGATGGCGTCCCCATGCCTGGGTGCTTCTGGTGCTGACATGGGGCATGGGCGGGGTGGGGAGGGGGTTGGGACTTCCAAGCCCACAGCTTGTCCACCCAGAACTTCCCACCTGCCCCTCCCTGTGGAGGGAAAAGGCAGGCTAAGTGCAGACTCTGGGGACACACAGGCTGGGCCCCTGGAGCCTCCAGGGGAGCAAAGTAACATTTATTTATAAAGCATTTATTAAGCACCTATTGTGTGCCAGGCCCTGGGCTGTACCCTGTGTATACTTTGTTTTCTCAACTGATTTTTTTTTTTATTGAGGTGACATTCATGTGACACAAAATAAACCATTTTAGAACAGCAGTGGCATTGTGTTTGCCGTGGGGTGCACCCACTATCTCCACCCACTTCGTGTTTAATTCTCGTCTGTAAGTGACACATTGTGAGGATTAAGCGGCGAGTGTGTTGAGGGTGCCCTGTGCATGCCAGCTCTCACACTGGCGCTGACCTGGCCCAGGTGTTCAGCCAAGGGCCCGGGGGACACCACCTGTCTGCAAGTGTTTGGCTGGTGTGCCTGCTCTCACCTGCTCACAGAGAAGCCGGAGGCAGTAGGGATGGCTGAAGTTCTCCCGGGGGTAGAACACCTGGAGGAGGGGTGGGCGAGCCAAGGTCAGGTGGGTCCAGTGCCCTTGCCCCTCTCCCCAGACTTCCCCTGCCCTACCCTCCCACCTCTGCCCTCCCAGACCCAGACTAGAAAACCAGGCCTGAGAGGTTGGCTCCGGGAGGCAGACCCCAGTGACTGAGCATGGGGAGGGGGTGCCTGGGATCCCAGCTCTGTCCCCCAGAACCACCCCGGGCCCACCTCCTTTCGTAGGAACAGCTTCCAGGGCACACCGGTGTAGGAGAAGCACACGCTGCCTGAGGGCATGAGCAGCCGGGTGGACACCCCCTCCTCTCCCATGCGCTCCGTCAAGACTAGGGGGAGAGTTTCAGGTGAGGTGCCTGCCAGAGCGCAATGACTGGGCCTCGGGGAGTGGAGACCCTCGTCTCCCAGGAGCCCCCTGAGGGCCCTCTTGGCCTCCCACCGCCTTGCTCCTGCCCCCAGCACCGTCTCCTGCCTCCATGTCCTGCCCTCAAGCTTCCCAGGTCCTGTGCTCCCTGCCACGTCAGCCAGGGCCACTACATTCTCCACAGAGGTGTCAGATCTGCCTGGAGGACAACACCCTGTGGGGCACAGCTGTCAGCACCGGGCAGGCCCCGGGGTGCCGGCCCTGCCTTGGGCGGGAATGCGGAAGCTGGGGCTCCTCACTGATGGCTCCAAAGTCCGGAAGTGGGCAGCTGACTTCTGATCTGCCTTGAGTGCCCAGAGGCTGTTGGGAATCCTGCCCCACCCCACTGAGCCCGCTCCACGGGGATGAGGGGTCCTTACCATGGGGCTTAGCTGAAGGGATCTCTGAGTCCTTGAGCAGAGGTAGTGGGGGTGCTGGCGGAGGTGGGGGTGCACCGGGAGAGGGTGGGGTCTGGCCAAACAGGTCCTGAAGGGGGCCCTGCTTCTCCTTGATGGAGCTGGAGATCTCAGGCTGAAAGGGAGCCTTGGGTCGAGGGGCAACGGCTGGTGAGGGGCCCTTCCCTGGGCTGGGGGACGGCATCTGAAAGGCACAGAGAAAGCTCACAGGCTGTGTCTAGGGCAAGGACACATGACCAAGAGTGGAGGAGGCCTCAGGCCTGTTTCCTCCAGAGACCTCGGACTCCTGGCAGCTTGTGGCCTGGAGGGGGCAGAACAAGGGTCCTCACCGAAGGGGACGAGAAGGCACCATTGATTCCCAGCTTAGCCAGAGCCTCGTCCTTGGGGTCGTTTTTCTTCAGGAAACTTTTGGGGGGCCTCCTGCAAGCAGGAAGAGGTCACCTGAGGTCCCTGAGGCTGGAGCAGCCCCACCACCTCCTCCAGGGAACCCACCTGGATGGCTGCACAGGTATAGGCACAGGCCCCGGGCGGCTCTGGTACATGCGGATGATGTTGCGGATCTCCCGGCTGGGCTCTGGCCGCTGGACCCTGGGCTCCGTGCCTTGCACCATGGGCCCCCTCTCCTCAGCCGGCCCTCGGCCACCTCCAGACCTGGCCTCCTTGGCTGGCTCAGCCTCAGCCTCATTTGCAGCTTTGGCCGCACCCTGTTTCAGTGGCTTCCTCACCACTGGGGGAGGAGGAGGGGATGGAGGAGACACTGCACGGAGAGGAAAGGTGAGGACAAGATGACGAGACCCTGAGCAGAAGTGCAGGAGCCCAGAGCCCCCACCCGTCTTCTCCCACCACCTGCTCTCGCTTCTTCCTCTTCCTCTTCCTCCTCCTCCTCTGCCTTCGGGATGTGGACCTTGGCCGGAGGCTTCACCACCTTCACCTTGATCTGCTGCTGCCCTGTAAGTGCCCCAGATGGCCCTCTCCGTACTTGTGTTCGCCCAGGGCCCCCATCTGGCTTGCCCACCCAGGCAGCCGGACAGACAGCTGGACAGGCTGCACTGACCCGAGGAGCCGAGTACACCCCCGCCTGCCGCACTGGCCCAGGCTGAAGGCAGTGGCAGGCTTCTGCTCAAGTCCACCTCCCCGTGTGCTCTCACCCATCTTCTGGAAGTAATCTCGTTTCTGCTGGAAGCTCTTGGGGTGCCTGGGCCTGTCCTTGACCTCCTCCGAGGGCTCCTCCTGACAGGAAGGGGAAGTGGAGGTGCAGCCCTAGCTGGCCACACTGCCATGCTCACAATGTGCCCCTCAACCCCTGGGGGACCTGGGGCCCAGCAGCCTCTTCTCCCCTCCTTCCTGCTCACCCCCACCCCTTGTCTCCCATCCCTGGAGCCTGGGAATCAGCAGCCCCCACCCCAGGCTCACTATCTGCCTGGCTTCCTCTGCTTACCCTCAAGCTGGCACTTGCTGACTCCGGGTCATGGGCGGGCTCCTCCGGGGGGGTGGGAGGCTTCTTGGGCTTGGGGGTAGTAGCTGGGGGTGGGGCCGGGGAGGCAGCCCTGGAGGCCTGGTTCTGGTGCCGCCGCTGCTGGGTCTGCTGCTGCAAGGTCAAAGTCATGGCCTGGGTGGTCATCTGCTGGGCCTGGAGGGGAAGAGGTGAGAGCCCTGGCCTGGCTGGACGGCCTGCCTCCCCGACGCCCCCACCCGGCATCTGCCCACCCTCACCAGGATCAGCGCCTGCTGGTTGATGAAGTTCTGCTGCTGGAGTGCCAGCTGATTGGCATCCAGGCTGGGGCCCACGGGCTGCAGTGGCTGCGGTGGCACCATCATGGCTGCGAAGGAGGCAGGCGGGGCCCAGGCGGTGAGTGCCATGGCCTAACAAGCGGCCCTCACCCACTGTGCCCTCTGCGCCCCTGGCAGGACCCGCCCTCTGCCAGTCCCCAGGGCCCCCAGCCTTACCTGGCATGGCAGGGACTGGGCCCATGGCTGGCACCATGGGTACAGGTGCAGGCACCAGCGCGGGCTGGTATCCAGGCATCTGCATCATCCCTGGGTACACTGAGGGAACAGGCCCCCCGGTTGGTGCCTCCTGGGTCCACGTACCACCTCCCTTCAGCCCCAGGCACAGAGAAGAACCTGGGCCACCACAGTGCCAGCCGGAGCTCTGACGCCAGGCTGCCTGAATGACACCGTCAGGGCGGGGACGTGAAGCCCCTTTGGGCTCAGCCTGCACTCACCCATGGGGTAGCCACCCTGCTGCATGGGCCCAATGGCGCCCCCTCCTTTCATGCGGCCTTGAAGAGCCCAGCTCTGCTCCAGATCCTGGAGGGACAAGAGACAGAGGTCCCAGGTCCCAGGGCCGGAGCCAGGGAGAGAGGGGAGGGGGCAGCCAGGCCCCAGGGGCTGGCAGAGCACTCACGCTGAGGCCGGGGGAGAGGACTGGCTCGAAGAGGTGGTCCAGGAAGCCATCCAGACTCCCCGATGTCCGGGCCTCCCCTGTGGGGCAGAAGGTTGGTGCCATCCGTCTGGGCTGTGGGGCATCCTGCACCCCCTTCCCAGCCCTCTGCCAGGCTCCACACGTCCACTCCAGCCTTACCTGTGTGGGCCCTGCTGGGCAGTGTTGGGGCTGGATCTGGAGGTGGTCCTGGGGGCAGCTGGGGGGCCTGGATGCCAGGGGCAGGGGGGATGTCTTCGGAGGCTCTGCAAGAGAGTGGGCCCAGCTTACTGCCTCGGCTGCTGCGGGGAGGGGTGCCCAGGCTGGGACAAGATCTAGAAGCTGCTGTGAGGCCGCCCCCACAGGGTGGGAGGAAGGTTAGGTAGGAGGACTGGCCCTGCAGCACCATGAACCAACCACAGGGTGCAATAGGGTGGTTGTGGGGACCACCCTCAGGGGAAGGAGCAGGGGTGCTGGGGAGGCACCTACGAGCCATGGGGGGTGATGGGGTAGCTGTGGGAGGCGATGGGGTAGCTGCGGGGGCCAGCCGGGTCCCCCAGGTCCTCAGTCTGGCCAATCAGGTCCAGCACGAAGTCGCAGCCAGCCAGGTCCTGCCAGGCCTCCTTGGAGTGCAGTGACACGGACCAGCCACGGGGGGGCACCTCCAGGCCTCTGGGGAGGGCAGGGAGTGACGTGGGGTGGGGGTCAGCGAGGCAGATGACCCCCACATAGGCAGAAGGAGCACAGGGCTGGCCGAGGTGGAGGGGCTGGGAAGGAGGTCCGGCAGGAGATGCCCCGAGGCCCTCCCAGCCCCGAGGAGCCCACTTTTGCTCAGCAGCTCAGCCGCCTCTCGGTTCTCTGCAGCCCACGGCCCGTCCCCGTGTGCAGGGGCTCCTTTATGGCCTGTTTCGTTAGAATCCGGGCGGCAGGTGCTCTCATACCACTCACCTACAATCTCGACTCCTTGCTTCCCACTGGAATCCTCACCTCCCCGACTTACACCCCTGCCTCCCAGCCCCTTGGGGGACGCAGTCTCTGGGTCCGGGAGGAGGAGGATGTTGGAGGAGGACAAGGTCAGTGGTCAGCCTTGACCACGCTGTCCCCTCATGCCAGACCCTCCATACCTGCTCTGCAGGATCCACCCTGCAAACTGCTCCCCTGTGGTCCAGGACTCCACCTCAGCCGAGTAGCACTCCTCTGCAGGGCCAGGAGGGAGGGCAGATGAGGGATAGCAGGGGCCCACCTCAACGGAAAGGGGCTGCTGTCCATGGGGCTCCAAAAGCAGGGACAGAGGGAACGCAGGGTCCCAGGGAGCTGCTGCTGAGCAGCAGGAGGCTGAGCGGGTGGGAGCAGGGAGGGTGAGTCGAGGGCAGGGCTCAGGAAGGCGGAGCAACCCCTGGGGGCCAGTGCAGTAGGGAGCATTACCACTGAAGGTGAAGACGTCCAGCGCCATGCGGCCCCGCCGCCATCCGGCAGTCCACTCGAGCTGGGTGGGCGCGTGGGCCCGTGTGGCCCCAGGGGCCAGCCGTGTCTGCTCCAGGGCGCCCAGCAGTTTGTGTTGGCACAGGGCTGCCATGCCGCTGGGGGCCTGGTCGGACACGAATCTGCGGGGACAGTCCAGGGCTGCTGTGGGGGCAAGGCATCCTGCTGAGCCTGCCCCACGCGCCCCCACCTGCCAGGGCCCTTACTTGAGCAGTGGCTTCTGCAGGGTGGGCATGGGGGGGAAGGCACTGAGCAGGACAGCCATGAGGGCCCAGCCACGCTGGCTCTGCTGCTCGTCCGGGTTGTGCCAGAGCTGGGCCACCAGCTGGCTGAAGATCTCGTCCCGTAGGCCCGGCCGCTGCTGCCCCTGCTGCACCAGGTACGTCCCCATGGCCTGCTCCTGCCAGGACGGCAGGGACCCGTCCCCCAGGAACCGCAGCATCTGCCAGCACAAAACGAGGGGGCCAGGGTGTGGCGGCACCCCCACGCACTGAGCCAGCACCCTGTAGCCAGGCCCAGCCCCAGAGCCACCGCCTTGTCCCTGCCTCGATGTGTCACTCACCACCTTGTTAATGTCCAGGGCAAGGTGAGGGCTCTCGCCGTGCAGCCGGGTCAGGGGCTTGGCCAGGGGCTGCCCGGGGTGGGGCAGGGAGGGTTCCTGTAGGGAAGAAGGGTGGCACAGTGCACGGGCAGGGGTCATCTGTGCTGACCACTGGGGGACAGCACCCAGGGGGACCACAGGAGCATGTACTCAGGAAAGGGGTGGCTGGTGGGGAAAACCACCTTAGAAATGCATCTTAACTGTTCTTTCTGATTAGAAAACGGAGACTCATGCATGCAGACAATTCCAAAAACATGGAAAAGCATAAAGAAGAAAATCAAACCCACCACTAACATCCCACGGCCCCAGAGTTAACCGCTGTTGACATTTTAGTGTCTTTGTTTCTAGCCTTGCTTTCTGTGCAGATACCTATGTTCCCTGCCCTCTGCTGGCTTGTAACCCATTGCCGCTCAGTCGATTCCGACTCACGGCAAACCTGTCGGACAGCGTAGAACTGCCCATAGGGTTTCCAAGCAGTAGCTGGTGGATTCGAACTGCCAACCTTTTGGTTAGCGGCTGAGCTCTTAACCACTGCGCCAACATAGGGTCACTATGAGTCACAATCGACTCGAGGGCAACAGGTTTGGGTTTCTTTTTTTGGGTCTTTGTTCTAAAGGAGTCCCTGGATGGCGCAAATGGTTATCCTGATCAGCTGCTAACCAAAAGGCTAGAGGTTTGAGTCCACCCAGAGGCACCTCCGAAGAAAGGCCTGGCGATCTACGTCTGAAAAATCAGCCACTGAAACCCCTGTGGAGCACAGGTCTACTCTGACACACACGCGGTCACCATGAGTTGGAATTGACTCAATGGCAATTGGTTGGTTTGTTAGCTTTTAAACAGAATTGGGCTTTGAATCCCATTTTTTTTTTTTTATTGTGGTGAAAGACATATAACAAAACATTTGTCATTTCAACCATTTCTTTGCATACAGTTCAGTGACAGTGGTGACCTTTTCCATGTTGTGTAACCTTCATCACTATCCATTTCCAAAATTTGTCATCACCTTTATAGAAGCTCAGTGCCTCATGAGGAATGACTCCCCACTTCTCCCTTCCTCCCATCCCTGGGAACCACTAATAACCTCTGGTCTCTATGCATTTGCCTGTTCTAGATATTTCATGGAAGTGGGATCACACACTACGTGTCCTTTCGTGGCTGACTGATTTTTCCCAGCATAACGCCTTCAAGGTTCATCCCTGTTGCAACAGGTACTGTGAATCTTGCTTCTTTATTTAACGTGGCATCGTGGACAGTTTCCTTTGTTATCAAATGTCTTTTAAAGACATGCCTTCAATGGCAGGGCAGTGCCACAGGTATAATAAATAATACGATGTCGTTAGACATTCAGGCCCTTTGGATGTTTCGGTACAATTCAGCTCCATCCATGGCCCCAGTCACTGGAGAGGGGCAGGGAAGGTGGGGACGAAGGAAAAGATAGTTTCCACCTGGCAGGGGCTACCACTTGGGGAGCCGAGGGGGTGGCCAGGTTGCTCTCAGGTTGGGGGTCCTACCTGGAAGCTGTTGGAGATGAAGCTGGAGAAGGGGAACTGGTCGATGTCAGGCGGGAGGGCCAGGCTGGGCCGGGCACTGACTTCCGGGGGCATCGACTCGGTGATGCTCTTTGCCAAGGCGGGCTGACGGCCTGGGGATGAGCATGGGGGAGACAGGCTGAGTGCCGAGGTATGGGACCTCGCTCGGACCCAACCTCAGCCCCTCCCTGTGAGCAACCAGCCCCCTTAGGGAGAGCTGGGAGAGTGGATGGTGAGCTCAGGGGAGCCCAAAGTATCAGAGGGACCACAGGGACAGAGCTATGGCACAGTAAAGGGACTAGGGGAGGGGTCAGGGCAGAAGGGACACCCCCAACTAAGACTCACCTTCCGCAATCTTCAGCATGACGGCCAGCTCAGCCGGAATCTCTAAGCGCCCCAGCTCCTGGCAGGGACGACCAATTGACCCCGGTACTCAGGGAAGGGACCCAGGGACCCAGTGCCCCTCCTCATCCCCAGGATTATAAACATCCCCTCCCAAAACCAAGGATTCTGACCTGGACATTCAAACAGGGCCCTGAAAGCCCTCGGATGGAATCCAAAAGCACTGGAGGGGCAAGGCAGCCCCACCCATGTCCCAGGGAGCATGACGGAGGTACCCAAGGGACAGGACCCACACCGGCACCCCTGTCACTCCATCCTCCTTCTCAAGCAGTGCCAGGTTCAACAGGTTCATACCCCAGTGTAGAACCCCCTTCAGCTCCCTGGTCACCTACCATGCTTGGCACTTTCTCCGAGGCCCCGTTGATGTGCCAGCCACACCAGTACCCAAGCTGTCAGGGAGATGCAGGAAGAGCTGCTGCCCCCATCGGGGAGGGGTCACCTTGAGTCTCCCAGTGGCACCTCCCTGCTGGCAGCCCAGCTGCCCCCTCCTGTTCCTGGGGGCGTCTGGCACCAGCAGAAGAATGAACACAGACCCAGAGGTGCCAGCTGCTTGACAGTGGATCAGTCCCTGCCTGCCCCTGGCCCTCAGAGCCCTCACAGGCTTCAGCGCTGTGGGCGTCACTGCCCATCTGCCACGTACCAGGAAGAAGGCAGGAAGAAGGGGAAGGATGGTCCCAGGGGACAAAGTCCAGCCAGGGAGGGGCCAGAGAGGGGGGTAGTATGTGGGCATTGACCTTTGAGCTGCTTTATGGCCCTCAAATTATAGTCATCAGGCAAGAAAGGGGAGCAGCAGGGGGCCAAGGAAAGGCGGGAGTGGGCGGGGTGAAGAAAGGCAATGAGCTCCCAGAGCCCCAGCCTACAATGGCCAGGCAGAGGGAAACCGAAAGAGCTCAGGGGGCAATGGTCTCTTGAGGCCTCAGTCATGGCACAGCTGGGCTAGGAAAGTGGGCACTGCAGGGGTTCCACCAGTGTTCACAGCCAAGGCTGCCTGGCTTCTACCCTGAGCTTCCCCAGTCCAGCAGCCCCCCTCAGACCCCTTTACCTGCAGTCTCTGCTGCCTCCAGAGCAGGGGCTGGGCCACCAGCAGGATGGTGTTCAGCTGTCCCAGAGCTGCCCACCACTGGAGGTATCGCTTCCTGGATGCCGGAGAGAAAGAAGTCCAAACTTAGGCCTCCTGCCTGATGCCTGAATCCTCCTCCTCTGGGTCAAGAAATTAATGTAAAAATTGGCACAGACTACTGAAACTCCTGGGTGTTTAGCAGAAGCAATACATAAAGAACAGGATATTGTGAAAAAAGAACAGGTAAATTGAGAAGCTGTTTAGTATAAGGATTAAGAGTTTAGGTGTTGGAGCCATACCAAAAAAATCCGTTGCTGTTGAGTTGATTCTGATTCTTGGCAACCCCATGTGTTACACAGTAGATCTGCCCCATAGGTTTGGTTTTTTGTTTTTTGTTTTTTGTCTATAATCTTTACAGAAGCAGATCACCAGGTCTTACTTCCATGGAACCACTGGCTGGATTCGAACCACCAACCTTTGGATTAGCAGGCAAGCGCAAACTCTTTGCACCACCCAGGGACCACAGAGCCAGACTACCTGGGTTCAAATCATTCTCCTACTATTTAGTCACTGTGATCTTGGATAATTACTTCTCTGTGGTTCATTTTCATCATCTGTAAAATGGGGATTATCATAATATCTACCCCATGATAAGATTAAATGAATTAATAGAAGTGAGTATTTAGAACAGAGTCTGGCATATTATTGTTTGATAAAGAGCCAAGCAGAACATCTAAAAATGAAAAAAGAACATCACTGAAAAATCTAACAGGAGATCCTGCAAGAGGCAATGTTCAAACAAAATATCTTTGAGAATTTTCCAGATATAAGACCTGACTCCTCAATGAAGGAGTCATAAGCAGGATGAACATTTAAAAATCAATATACACCCAGATACATCATAATAAAAATGCAGTACTCCTAAAACAAAGACAAATTATATAAGCAACCACAAGAAAAAGACAGATTACCTACAAAAGAATAAAAATTAGACAGCAGATTTCTCATCAGCAAAAAGAGAGAACAGAAGACAGTGAAGCAATATCTTCAAAGCAGTGAGAGAAAATAAGTGTTTAGAATTCTATACCTAGCTAAACTGTGATTCAAGAATGGAAGTGAAAAGATATTCTCAAAGATAGAGAATTTACCATTCTCTAATGCTTATTGGAAGAACTACTAAAGAATATATTGCAGTAAGAAGGAAACAGACCTCAGAAGGAAGGTATGAGAAGAAAAAAACATGAACAAAGAAACTGGTATCTCTAAATAAGAAGTAACTGTAAAAACATACACGCGTATTGTATTACTGTATTTTTACACAAATAACACGTGAGTTTTTTTTTTTTTTTACC